ACAGACTTGGAAAGAAGTAGCATGATTGCTCACTGATCATGATGCACACCTCTTATTTATGAGTGTTTTGTGGACTGAGAAACTAGCAGTAAAGTTTGTACTTTATTCGACTACTTTCAGTTCATATACAATAGTAAATTAAATTTGAACTATATTGTTAGGAGATTGATGTTATTTAACTAAACTGTGGTAGCTGAAATATGTGCATATTGGGATCATGCAACACAAGTACTACCAGTATAAAGAGTGTGTGAATGAGCACGAATGCTTTGATTTTTATAATGTGAGAAGATTAATTCCTTGTAGGGAGATTAATGTCATTGTATGTTACTGACCTGTAGCTCTGGTTTATAGGTAGGATCAGATGATGAGATACTATCTATAATAAAAGCATAACATGCTAATTAGACTGGACAACCTTCCAGATGGAGGCAGCCGCTGCTGCTGAGGGGGATCGAGGCTGCAAAGGCCTACTCTGGAACAAATTCCATGCATCAGGCCCCCAGTGTCCCATATAATAAAGATGTAATGCACAAATGGTCGCTATGCCAACCGATCAACTGTAACGATTGGATCACGGATCAGCGGGAGGGTGGGGCGAGAGCTACAGGAGGGGGCAGGGCAGCAGGCCAAGAGCTCCTGGAGGGCAGCAGCGAGCTACTGGCACACGGATTCGTGTGCAGGACTACTGAGACGTGTATAAAGGACCTTTGTTAGCCACAACACAGTTTAGAGAACAATTATGTAGTCTGATAGATAGGGCAAGCAACATGACCAGCTCTAATAGCCAGGGAGTCTTTTATTTTATTTTTATTTTTGTGTGTGTGTTTTTTAAAATATATTTTATTGATTTTTTTACAGAGAAGAAGAGAGAGGGATAGAGAGAAACATCGATGAGAGAGAATCATCTATCAGCTGCCTCCTGCACTCCCCCTGCTGGGGATGTGCCCGCAACCAAGGTACATGCCCTTGATCAGAATCGAACCTGGGACCCTTCAGTTCATAGACCAACGCTCTATCCACTGAGCCAAACCGGTTTCGGCTAAATATGTTTTTAATGATTTTGTTTTATTTTTATTTTAATGATTTTAGAGAGCGGAAGAGACAAAGAGAAAGAAACATCAGTAAGAGCCTGGTTGGTGTGGCTCAGTGGTTGAGCATCAAGCTATGAACCAAGAGGTCACGGTTTGATTGCTGATTGGGGCACATGCCCAAGTTATGGGGGCATGTAGGAGGCAGCTGATTAATGATTCTCTCTCATTATTGATGTTTTTATCTGTCTATTCTTTTCCCTTCCTTTCTCTGAAATCAATTAAAACATATTTTTTTAAAAAACATTGTTAGCCGAAGCCGGTTTGGATCAGTGGATAGAGCGTTGGCTTGCGGACTGAAAGGTCCCGGGTTCGATTCCGGGCAAGGGCATGTACCTTGGTTGCAGGCACATCCCCAGTGGGAGGTGTGCAAGAGGCAGCTGATCGATGATTCTCTCTCATCGATGTTTCTAGCTCTCTATCCCTCTCTCTTCCTCTCTGTGAAAAATCAATAAAAAATATTTTTTAAAAAAAATTTTTTTCCTTGCTTCTGAACTAACTGAATATTCCCTTAGCAAGGCAATATATAACCAATGTATTAAATCCCCTGTATGTTTGCTTTAGTGTGGTCTTGGGAGTCCCATGTTCCAACATTTGTGTGACCTTGAACAGCACATATCTTAACCTTTCTGAGTCTCATTTTAAAAATATATTTTATTGATTTATTACAGAGAGGAAGAGAGAGGGATAGAGAGTTAGAAACATCGATGAGAGAGAATCATCGATCAGCTGCCTCTTGCATACCGCCTACTGGGGATGTGCCCGCAACCAAGGTACATGCCCTCGACCGGAATCGAACCCGGGACCTTTCAGTCCACAGGCCAACGCTCTATCCACTGAGCCAAACCAGTTTTGGCTCTGAGTCTCATTTTACTCATTTTCTAAATTGGGGTAATAATGATACCTACTTTTTTAAGGCTGTTTGAAGTTTTAATGGGATAATAAATATAAACTGCTTTGCAAACACTGAACTTATAATAAATAATATTATAATTTTCAAAACTTAATAAGTATATAACTGCTAGTTCTAAATATTTCAGTCTGACTGGTTTTAATTATACAAATAAAATATGAATGCATTATTAAAGTTTTGTAGATAAGGCTAAAGAGTTTCTTAACTGCTGTAATCTCAGTTCTTTACCCAGTAGTAACCATTTTATCAATTCATGTGTCCTTCCATGTCTTTTTTTGCCTTTATGCACATATATATATTTTTTTTATTTTATTTTTTTATTTTTTTATTTTATTTCATATATCAAGAATGAAGTTATTTTATAAGTATTAGCTAATGTGTGCCAGTGGTTAGGGGTGATCAGGCAGGCAGGCAGCAGCGGTTAGGATCCAGAAGTCCCGGATTGTGAGAGGGATATCCGACTGCCAGTTTAGGCCGGCCCCACAGGGACTCGGCAGTTGGATATCCCCGAGGATCCCAGATTGCATTAGAGGGCGCCTGGCTGAGGGCCCTCCCTCCACCCTGCACGAACTCCGTGCATGGGGCCTCTAGTGCCTAAATACTTACAAAGGAAATAAAACTGTCCATTAAGACGTAATTGGGTAATATTAGAAATTCTTAAAATGGCTCACTTAACAAATTCAGCAGTTGTGAATTACATAATTACAGGTTGTTTTTTTCCCCGGGAAAACCACATACAATATTAAATATTGGTGTGTAATGCTTAGCTATATAGGCTTGTATACCAAAGGAAGATGCCTTCCTCGATAGCAAAACAACAGAGAAATGTAAAACTGCAGAATTTTTATAAATGTAAAATTGCACCATTATTCCCTCTGATTTAAATAAACTGTCAAGAAGAAATCTTTTTATTTTACTTATTTTATTAAAAAAAATTTTAATTAAAATTTTGGAGGTACACATTGGCTAATAAAATTACAATTCTATAATATAACATCAAGAAGAAAAATCATACTGGTCACTTCTTTTCTCTGTCTTCCCAGCCTCTGGCAGCCACTAATCTACTTTCTATCTCTATGGATTTGCCTATTCTGGACATTTCATGTAAATAATATTTTACAATATGTGGTCTTTTGTGTTTGGTTTCTTTCATTTAACATAATGTTTTCAAGATTCTTCTATGTTGTAGCACTTATTAATACTTCATTTCTTTTTATAAAATTTTCCATTGTGTAAATACTAGAGGCCCAGTACATGGGATCTATGCATGGGAAAGATCCCCAGGCCTGGCTGGCAATCAAGGCCAATCGAAGCCTTTCTTCCCTGGCTGCTGGCTGCCAGCTGGGGCCTTCCTTCGTTCTGCACCACCACCTGGTGATCAGTGCATGTCATAGCGAGCGTTCCAACTCCTGGTTGGTCAAACTCCCAAGGGGACAATTTGCATATTAGCCTTTTATTTTTTATTTTTTTATTTTTAAAATATATTTTATTGATTTTTTACAGAAGGAAGAGAGAGGGATAGAGAGTTAGAAACATCGATGAGAGAGAATCATCGATCAGCTGCCTCTTGCACACCCCCTACTAGGGATGTGCCCACAACCAAGGTACGTGCCCTTGACCGGAATTGAACCCAGGACCTTTCAGTCTGCAGGCCGACGCCCTGTCTACAGAGCCAAACCACATTTTGTTAATTCATTCATCATCAATTGAAATTTGGCTTGCTACCTTTGGCTATTATGAATGTTGCCATGAACATTTTGTGTAAGTTTTTGTATGGACTTTGTTTAAATTCTTTTTATATCCTTTATAATAAAAGGCTAATATGCAAATCCACTAAACGGCAGAAAGACTGGTCACTATGATGCACACTGACCACCAGGGGGCAGCTCTTGCATTGAGTGTCTGCCCCCTGGTGGTCAGTGCCCTCCTGTAGGAGGAGTGCCGCTCAGCCAGAAACTGGGCTCACAGCTGGTTAATGCAGCAGCAGTGGTGGGAGTCCTCCCACTGCAGCAGAGGCCTAAGCACTCAGTCAGACATCCCCCAAGGGCTCCTGGAAAGCGAGGGTGCAGGCTGGGCTTAGGGACTTCCCCCCCACACCCAGTGCATGAATTCCATGCACCAGGCCTCTAGTGTGTGTGTACATACACACACACACACACACACGCACACACGCACACCCCCCTCAGAGTAGAAACCTCAGAGTAGAATGACTAGAACTGCCAAACTGTTTTCTAAAGTGGTTGTACCATTTTAGATTCAATTCATCAATGTTATGAGGGTTTCAATTTCTCCACATTCTTGCCAACTCTTTTTATTGCCCATCTTTTTTATAATAGTCATCCTAGAGGGTATGAAGTGGCATCTCATTGTGGTTTTAATTTGCACTTCTCATAATGACTAATGATCTTGAGCATTTTCATGTGCTCATTGGCATTTGTATATCTTCTTTGGGAAGACATCCTTAAAGTTAAAATATTGGAGGTTACTGTTGGAATGCTTTGTTCAAATTAACTTTATTCCTTTATCTGATGTTAGAGTTTTTGCTTCATTAATTAAAATGTTGTACTCTATTCTTGAAGGTAACATAGATGCAGCTTTCCCCTGTGAAAAATTTATATCTTGTATCCTGGATTGAAATGTTCATAAAGAAAAGTTTGTTCCCACTCTGATAAGCAGTGATTGACAAGTAAAATGTTTACTAGACCCTTTTTGGTCAAATTATTATTATAAATTTATGTCATTAGGCTGAGTTAGCAGAAGGAACACATCACAAGTAGGGAACCCAGTGGCTCATTAAAACATGGTTTTCCCATACATTATCAGAAAACACTCACCTTTTGTTAAGAAAAAGATCTTAAGGCAAAAGGAATATTGATGCTTGAATAGCAACTGCAGTTGAAAGTAGCACTTTGTCCATACAGGTAGTGAAAACTGACCTCTCTTAGATAGGCACGGAAAAGTACATGATTTCATCTTTAATGTCCCTCTCTCCCCAGCGTGGTACCATGCGACGACGTTATGAAGATGATGGCATTTCAGATGATGAAATTGAAGGGAAAAGAACTTTTGACTTGGAAGAAAAACTTCACACCAACAAATATAATGCAAATTTTGTTACTTTTATGGAGGGAAAAGGTTAGTATTATTTTGGTTCATACCAGTAGTCCCTTGATGGAGGAAGTTTAAATTCTGGGAACTGTAGTAAGCATCTATGCAGCCAGAATATCACCTGTTGGTGCTATGCTGCTATTATCTTTATTTTCTCCTTTTACACAGTGCCACTCACACACTATCATCCCCAGGTCTTCCCACCCTGTGAGGCATTTCTTTGCTGTATTAGAAGAAGCAAGCATTTATTAGGGCAGGAATGTTGTTAGAATTTTTCTCTAAAGGTCTCTTTCTTCTTTTTTTCCCTTTCCTTGGTTTGGGTTTAATTATAAATCCTGTACTATAATAAAAGCTTAATATGCAAATCAACTGAATGGCAGAATGACCAGTTGCCATGACACTCACTGACCACCAGGGGAAAGACACTCAATGCAGGAGCTGCCCCCAGCCCACAGGCCCCTACTGGCATCGGCAGGGGCCTGGGCTGGCAAGTGGGTGGCGCCAGGCCAGCTAAGGCAGGTGCCAGTGGGAGCTCCCTGATCGCCGGCCAGGCCTGGGGACCCTGCCTGTACACACATTTTGTGCACTGGGCCTCTGGTAGTGCAGTAAAAGCTTTCTTATGCCTGGACCGCCCACCAAAACTGAGATGTGGGATTCCATGTATACCATGCAGCTTTGTTCCTTGGCAAACCAACGGATGTAGAGGACAAAATTAACAGTTTTGGGCTATTGGGAAGGATGATGTCAGGTTAGCGTAGCTCAGTGGTTGAGTGTCAACCTAAGAACCAAGCGATCATGGTTCGATTTCCTGGTCAGGGAACATGCCCGGGTTGTGGGCTTGATCCCCATTGTGGGAGGTGCAGGAGGAGCCAATAATGATTCTCTTTCAGTATTGATGTTCCCAATCTTTCCCGCTACCTTCCTCTCTGAAACCAATAAAATTTATATTCTTTAAAAAAGAGGAAGGATGATGATAATTTCTGCCTAGGATTTATGAGATGACTCGTTAGTAGAACTACCCCCTATTGGTTAAATTTTTAACTTACTCTGGAAATACAGGCTTAGAAAATCCCTAAATCCTGCTTTTCAGTTACTTTTTTCCAGCTAGACCTCTTGCTGTTCTAACAGTTGTTCTGCTTTGGTGACAGATTTTAATGTGGAGTATATCCAGCGGGGTGGCTTACGAGACCCTCTGATTTTCAAGAACTCTGACGGGCTTGGAATAAAGTAAGTGGTGCTGGCCTGCTTGGATATGGTTGGGAAATGGCCATGCTGCACCCGGGCTGTAGACAACGCAGCATTGATAATATTTCTCGTTTAGTTTTAAAAGGGATTCCATTTCTTCTTTTGTTATAAATGCTTGTTAAAAGTAAATGAGAAAATATAGTTGAGATAAGATAATCAGGTCATTTATATTTAAAATATATTTTCAGCTGAAGTAAGAAAATTAATGTGTCTCAACTAGGGAGTTCTTAGTATGTTAAGAAAAAACTTCACACTGCCCTAGCCAGTGTGGCTAAGATGGTTGGGCATCATCTTATGCACCAAAAATTGGGTGTCCAATTTCGGTCAGGGCACGTGCCCAGGTTGTGGGCTTGATCCCTGGTAGGATGCATGCGAGAGGCAGCCAATAGATGTTTCATTCTCATATCAGTGTTTCTCCTCTCCCCCTCTCTGAAAAAAAAACAAACACCGGTTTAAAAATGTTAAAAATAAATTCATATCGGCCTTGGGCATGCGTATCTCTCCTCCACATTAAAAAAAAAAAAAAATCTTAAAACAAACAAACAAAAAAGATAGCCCAACTGGCATGGCTCTTTGAGCATCGATCTCTGAACCCGGAAGTCAAGGTACATGACTCTGGTCAAGGCACATGCCCGGCTTGGGGCTCCACCCCAGGAGGGAGTGTGCAGGAGGTAGCCAATCACTGACTCTCATCACTGATGTTTCTATCCCTCTTCCTCTTTCTTCCTCTCTGAAATAAAAAAAAACATATATTTTTTAAAGTTAGAGTGTTAAAAAGAAAGAAAAAAATACTAACACTGAGGAAAGAAGTTACGCTTTCCATTTAAGTTGTGCTTATTGGTGTTTGTTCCATAGGATGCCAGATCCAGACTTCACTGTGAATGATGTCAAAATGTGTGTGGGTGAGTATTAGCATGTGACCTCTGTGCCTGAGGCAGAGATTTCATATTAGGACTGAGTCTTACAGCTCTGAGCTTTGAGAAGGTTTAGGAGCATTGAAGTATATATTGGATTGAAGTATATATTGGATAGTTTATTGATTAGAAACTATAATTCAGCAAGTGAGAATTTTCTCAGAGGGAGCTACAAAGTTGCTTTGTTTAGCACTCATTTGAGGTAGAACATTTGAATCCGCTCCTTTTCTACCTGCCATTCTTATCTCTGCATCCCTCTCCACTCCCCACCCCTTTCTCTCCAGAAGACCCTGCCTTCCAGGGAAACCTTCCCTAGATAGTGAAATTTTATATCTATGAGCCATGAATGAAGCTTCATTCATATTTGATTATCTTTATCCCCCCTAAAAGCAGTAGAGAAATTTCCAGGGAATTTTTACCAATGCTACATTTGTTAATTAGGTCCTCATCAGTGATGGTTAACTAATCTTTAATCTGATTTATGTTTTATTGTATTCAAAATTAGTAAAAAGAGCAAATTGGAATAATCTAGTTAAAGAAGAATAAATACTTCCTGTGGTCAGTAAAGGTTCAGGTCAATTTTCTGCAGACAATTGCTGTTCAGTGAGACAGTACTGAATTCAGAAACGGTCACTCTCCTATACACTATAAGGCATATTAAAACCTTTTAGAAAGGTTTTTAACAGGACATGAAACAAAGTTTTTTGATGCTTTTCTTCTACCACTAAATTTCTTCTATGCTGAAGCTGCCCTGAAATAGTTTGCTTTGGAAATTAAATAGTGCAGTGCTATCTCTTGACCACTTGAGGGCCTTTTTTAAACAGCTGGATAACTTCTGTTTATCTGAGGTGAAAAAATCAGATAGCCCAGGTAGAGGAAAGTTCTCTCATTCCCCGTATCTTTTATTAATACTCCCTCACTGGTTCTGCATTAGATTTCACTTATCTGCCTGTCACTCTGTATTTATTTCCTAGTACCTAGCATATTCTCTGGAGTATGTAGGTGCTCAGTAAACCTGTTAAGTAAAATGCTTTTCTGTTAGACTCTTTTCAAGGTAGGGCTCTCTGAGGAGGCATCAGAAAGACCTACTTGAGTACTTATCAGTCCATCACTTCTTTTCCTAATGGACCCCCACAGCACTAGTTCCTTCGATCTTTAAGTTAATGGACCACCACAGCTTTTCTCTTTGGGCCAAGCATTGTTAAGGGTTTGGGCCACAAAAAGCCTGTATCAGAATCACCTGTGGTACTGGTATTTGTTAAAAATATAAACTTCAGGATCTCATCATAGACTTATCTAAATGTATAATCTATACAAATAAAAGCACTCATTCAATCACTAGTCTCCTTTTGGATTTCTTATCACTTTCTTACCATTTTTTAATGTTTATTGCTAATAATAATAATAATAATGATCTTTGGAAGCCTATGATAACCTTTTATTTTCCAAATATACCTGTGAATAGTTACAGATATCTTTGCTGTGATTTAAATAAAGCCGTGATGCTCTGGCCCAGTGGCTCAGTTGGTTGGAGTGTCATCTTATACACCAAAAAGATTTTTGGATTTGATTCCTGGTCAGGGCATATGGGAGGCAACCTATCATTGATGTTTCTTTTTCACATTGATGTTCTCCTTCCCCCCTCTCTTTCTCCCTTTCTCTCTCTCTAAAAATCAATAAAAACATATCCTTGAGAGGATTAAAAATAAAATAAGGCAATAAAGCAGTGGTTATATCTAATCTAACAGACTTTCAGAAATTTCAGCTGATGCCTAACTTTATGTCCAGGTTGTTTGAAGTCTAGGTGGTTGGGTTTTTGTTTTTGTTTTTATAATTCAATCTATTTTAATAGCAGATTTATAGGAGCAGCATAGAAGACAGACATTAAAAATATGTACTTGCATGTAGGACAACTCAAAGTACAGTAAATGAATGGCATCTACTGTGTGAAAAAAAAATGCTACAAACCTTTTTATCACCCCAAACAGGAACTCTTTACTCATTAATTAGTCAGCCTTTATTCCTTCCTTCCCTCAAGTCCTGGCAGCCACTAATCTTCTTCCTGTCTCTGTGGATTTGCCTATTCTGGACATTCAATATAACTGGAATCACAAAATGTAACATTTTATGTCTGGCTTCTTTTTTTAAAGACAGGAAGGTAGATGGATAAAGAGTTAGAAACATTGATGAGAGAGAAACATTGATTAGCTGCCTCCTGCACAATCCCTACTGGGAATGTGCCTGCAACCAAGGTACATGCCCCTGACAGGAATCGAATCTGGGACCTTTTCAGTCGGCAGGCTGATGCTCTATCCACTGAGCCAAACCAGTCAGAGCTGGCCTCTTTCACTTAGCATAATGCTTTCAAGGTTTATCTACCTTGTGGCATGTAACAGTACTTAATTACTGTTGATGGTGGAATAATATTCCATTGTGCTGGATATACCACATTTTGTTAATCCACCCATTTATTGATGGGCAATATTTCCACCTGTTGGCTATTGGGACCAAAGATCCTATGAACATTCATGTAGAAGTTTTTGTTTGAACACCAGAGTCCAATTCTTTTGAATATATAGTCACAGTGGAATTGCTAGGTTATATGGCCATTCTGTGTTTAATTTATTAAGGAACCACAAATTGTTTTTTCATAGCAGCTGCATCATTTTACATTTCTACTAGAAAAATCTAAGGGTTCCAGTTTCTCTACATCCTGGCCAGCACTTATTTTTCATTATTATTATTATTATGGCCATTCTAATGGGTCTGAAGTAGTATTTCAAGGCATTTGAAATATGATTTAACATTTGCTTTTTCTTCTAAGACATGAAGGGTAGTTTGGTCCATTGCCTTATGTTATATTTGAATATGTATTCTGTCATGTCTACTTCATTGTGGCAATGTTCTTGTCCTCTTGCCTATTATCTTTTATCTCTAACCAGACTGTAAACTCCTCGAAGGCAAGGGATGAGGGTCTAATACTACTTTATATCTGCCAAGGCCAGGTGTGTAGTAGGTATTTGTTAGTTTCATACAAGTTGAATAGTATCCTTAATATTCCAATGGTGGCTTTTTATTCTCTCCCTTAACCACCATTTTTAAAACTTTTTAGCTGTGCTGCCTTTCCATATCTCCTCTTATGCTTTTACCTCCATTTGTATTTCTCTCTATTGAATCTTGCTGAAATTCTATTTATTCTTCAGAGCCAAACTCAATGACTTTCCTACCCTCTCTTTTCTTCTCTGATCAGTACAGGTGTGTGTGTGTGTGTGTGTGTGTGTGTGTGTGTGTGTTTTAAATATATTTTCTTTATTTTTAATTAGTATTTAATTGAGCGCCTACATTATGTTAAACATTTTACTTCATTGACTAAATTTTCACAGCAGCTCATAGGTGATTATTCCCAAGTTATAGAAGATGATATTAATGTTCAGGGCAGTTAAATACCTTGGCCAAGTAGTATTAGAGCTGAAATGTACCTTAGATCTCTTTGGCTCCAAAACTATTGTTTTCTTCCCCTGGTACCATGGTTGGCAAACTGCGGCTTGTGAACCACATGCAGCTCTTTGGCTCCTTGAGTGGGCTCTTCCACAAAATACCATGGCCTGGGCGAGTCTATTTTGAAGAAGTGGCATTAGAAGAAGCTTAAATTTAAAAATTTTGGCTCTCAAAAGAAATTTCAATTGTTGTACTGTTGATATTTGGCTCTGGTGACTATAATGAGTTTGCCAACCACTGGCCTAGTATTTTATGCTATCTCTTCTAGTATTCTGCCTTTTGTTGTAGTTGTTATGATTGGTTGAGAATCTGATATAAGTAGATATTTATGTCCCTTATGGTATCTTTCTCAGTATTTGTGGAACATATGAAAAGGGAATTTTATATTAGAAATACTTGATAGATTTGGGAAATAACCCTTTTAAACAAGAGTAGACAGATTGAAATTTAATCTAGTATTCACTAAAGAATGGGTCTTCTACTCAGTTTGTGGGAGAGATTAGATTCTGTTTAAAGCCTGCGTCAAAGCAGTATAGCTCAGTGGATGAGTACATTAACTCTAAAACTGGGCTACCTGCATTCTTGTCCTGCAAGTTACCTATCATCACCTGTTTTCTCATCTATGACATGGAGATTACTACTTAGCATTTATTTAGAGTTGTTAGGATTGGGTGAGATATTGAAAATAAGATTCAGTACCTAACCATATAATAAATATGACCTAGGGAGTGATTGTTATTTTTAATATTACCCATTGTCTTTTCCATTTTCTGTGATTTGATTTTCTGTTAATTATCTCAAGTCACAACCAGCTCTTTGTTATTGAATACCTTAAATAAGAAAGGGTAGTTTGTTTCCTTTCACTTGTATTTTATAATCTTAATATATTTATGGGTATCAGTGGCTCAGTAGAGATAATCAATGCGTCTTTCATGGCAGGGAGTCGTCGCATGGTGGATGTCATGGATGTGAACACGCAGAAAGGCATTGAAATGACGATGGCTCAGTGGACACGCTACTATGAGACCCCAGAGGAGGAGCGAGAAAAACTCTATAATGTCATCAGCCTGGAGTTTAGCCACACGAGGCTGGAGAACATGGTGCAGAGGCCCTCCACGGTTAGTCTAACCATTTTTCCACATTGTCATTGTCACCAAGAGAGTTGTATATTTACTAGGAGAATTGATTACTTTTTGTATATACCAAGATGAAGGTGAAGAGGAACAAGACACTTTGATAAGGATAAACTTGCATTTTAGATGGTCCATCATTTTCTAAAATTATTTTATATAAGGAGGGGCCATTCTGATTTACATCACCAATATACTTAATTTAGGACCATTGGCCTTTGTACATAATAAAGAATAATCTTAAAATTCACTATTGTAAGTACTGTCAATAGGAAGTTTGCCTTATAAATTTCTGTCCTACAGGTTTATGTTTGCTGAGAAACTTGGGAGAAAATTGGTTTAGAGCTAGGTGATTGTTTTACGAAATTATTTTTCTAGTAGATTCTACTGGATGACTATTAGCAATAAATTAATACCCTATACTTAGGGAAAGATAGTCTTCGATCCGCAGCTCTCCTGAAGATAGATGTAGATTTTGCCCATTTCTTGGCAAAGTAGGGGCTGTGTATAGGACATTGAGAAAACTTTTTTTCTGATGGGGATTGCTTTCACTTTTGAAATACACCTAGTCATTTTCAAACAAATTTTATTCATTTAATTCCTGACTCAGAACTCAGTTTTGTCAAATATTACACGTGGAACAATAGAACTTGGAATATACTAATTATTTGTTTAAAGTCAAGGTCTCTGTGTTTTATCCCTTTGACTTTCAAAGCTGAGGTACTATAATTGCTTATAGCATCATTTTGTATATGTATGTATATATAGCTTACTACTAAGTTACATTGTTATATTAACACATAGATAAGTATGTATAGACCAATGGGAAAATTTCACAGTATTTCACTATTATCTGAAAAGATGATTTTTAGTCATTACTTCATATAACTGGAGATGCTATAATTAAATACAGAACTTATCATTAAGAAAACATCCTTCGCCGGGACCGGTTTGGCTCAATGGATAGAGCATCGGCTTGGGGACTGAAGGGTCCCAGGTTCAATTCCGGTCAAGGGCATTACCTTGGTTGCGGGCATATCCCCAGTAGGAGGTGTGCAAGAGGCAGCTGATCGATGACACTCTCTCATCGATGTTTCTAACTCTCTATCTCTCCCTTCCTCTCTGTACAAAATCAATAAAATATATTAAAAAAAAAAAAAAAGAAAGAAAAAGAAAACATCCCTCCCACTAAGTTCTTTTAATAGTAATTATTATTTGTTATGTCAAATAATATAGGAAGACAGGAAATATAGGTACATTTAGCCTTTTTATTAGCCATACCTGGTCTACTTAATAAAGAGTTCAATTAAGTGAGGGATGTAATAATTACAATAACCTATTTTTATAAATTTATTTCTAAATATTTTTAGAATTTCAATTTAAAAGAAATATGGTTGTACTTGTAAAATTAAAATTTGATCTGGATCATACTTTTTCATTTTTTAAATTTAGAAATGTGTTACACATGAAGCCTTCTTTGTAACATCCTTAATTGATTCACTATGTCCTTAGTTTTAATGATTTTAAAATGCTGATAAAAAAACATTTTACAAAAATTAGAAAAATATTGTGCCATTATAAATGGAGGAATAGAATCAGTGGAAGGGCTAAGAAGTAGGAAATTTTCTGGAGGACAAAGGACAATGCACAGGTATCTTTAAGGTCCCTAAAACATGGCCAGAAAGATTGAGGGAGCTATTACCAAGGTCCTAAAATCCAGCAAGCTTTCTATGACCTTGCTATATAACCAGTAACATACTTATTCTACTGGATTACTATTTATTTATTTACTGTTTTAGAGGTTTTCTTGCGGACAGGATACCCCTCCATTTATTTAGGTCTTTTCTAATATATCTCAATAATGCTTTTTTAAAAAGTCAACTTTATTGAGGTACAATTGACATACAATAAAATGTACCCCACCGTGCATGAATTCGTGTACCCTCCCCCTCTCTCCGTGTGTGTGTGTGTGTGTGTGTGTGTGTGTGTGTATTAAAGAATGTTTTTATTGATTTCAGAGAGGAAGGGAGAGGGAGAGAGAGATAGAAACATCAATGATGAGAATCCTTGATCGGCTGCCTCCTGCACACCCTCTACTAAGAATTCAGTCCACAACTCAGATATGTGCCCTGACCTAGAATCAACTGTGATTCCTGGTTCCTAGGTCAGCACTCGTCACATACGATTTTTAACAATTGATATCTTAGTTGCTCTAATAGTGTTATAGCTTTCTGTTAATTTTTAGGTACCTTCCAGGGAGTGCCTCTAATTGTATTTTTAAAAAATAGAGTTAATTACACAGAAGAGAGGGCTTGGCTGGATACTACTGTTATTTAATAACTTCACTTTGATTAGTGCTGTCTTTATGATCATGGTGATAAAACCATTAGTCTTTATTCTCATTAAATAATAATTTCTAGAATGTTTGCCCACCGATACTAAGATTCAGCAACAGAATGTTTTAGTTCACTTACAGTCAGTCTTTCAGTGTGTATTTTGAAAAATTCTATTTTTCTTTAAAAAAAAATATACGTTTTTATTGATTTCAGAGAGAGTAAGGGAGAGGGAGAAAGAGATAGAAACACCAATGATGAGACAGAATCATCAACCTACTGTCTCCTACACGCTCCGTACTGGGGATTGAGCCACAACCCAGGCATGTGCCCTGACCGGGAATCAAACATCAGCCTCTTGGTTCCTAGGTCACCATTCAACCACTGAGCCACACTGGCCAGGCAAAAATTCTGTTTTTCTTGATTTTAAAATTCTCTTTAATCCGGACCCTACCTTTGAAGCCTAAATGTTTTCTTTCCTTTTTAAAGGTGGATTTCATTGACTGGGTAGACAACATGTGGCCAAGGCATTTGAAGGAAAGTCAGACTGAATCAACAAACGCCATCTTGGAGATGCAGTACCCTAAAGTACAGAAGTAAGTGCTTACCTGCATCTTCCTCAGTGTGCTAGGGCAGACCGAGGTGATGGCAAGGACCGGTTCCTCCGTTAGGACCCATTCTCCGTTTCCTAAATGGTCAAAAACATGAATTCTTCAGCGTAGCTTTTACAGTCCCAAAGGGAAGAGTGTATGTAAGCGGATTACAGCCCATGATTACAGTTAAAGAAAAAATTACCCTGGTAAAGAGATGACTTGCAATTGCATGCCTCTCGCTGACGGGGAGTGGATTCGAGGAAAGAGGGAGGGAGTGCACAGGGGCGAGTGCGGCGCTGAGTGGGGTGGGCCCTCCTTTTCTCACCAGGGCACTAACTGCTGCTTTTTTGGGCCAGGTACTGTCTAATGAGTGTTCGAGGCTGCTATACTGACTTCCATGTCGACTTTGGTGGTACCTCCGTCTGGTATCACATCCATCAAGGGGGAAAGGTACGCTGTAGTTGTGAAGGGGGTTGGGACCTGACACTGGTTGTATGACTTTGCTTTAGTTCATGCTTGCTTAATACACATAGAGATGAATCTATTAGGAGATTGTCCCACTCATATCTAGAGATAATTGTCTATTTAGTTGACCTTCTTGGCTAGAATTCAGTAGGAATTAGTATTCATGTAGGCCACTATGATCATGTCAGTATTTGCATAGTACTTAGTAAACCTCAACAGTCCTGTGTACACATCCCCAAAGTAGAATTCTCCAAATGGAGGCAAGGAAGCGGTTTTAAGAGGACACGATAATTTCTCTATGTGGGAGCATAATAAGATAGAAGGACACACAAATTTTGGATAGATTCACAATGAAATCAGCAAATTAAGATCCAAATTACCTTTCCCTATTTGGAGGCATTGGTGTAAAATGGGATCAAATGATACCTTTAAGACGATTCTGAAGTTATAAATAGATTTTGAAAGATTATTCTCATTTAGAAAGAACTATATTTCAGCTTGTTGGAGTGTTTTGAATGGTGTGAGGATGGAAATCTAGAATATAGGGGTTTATAGTGTTCTCTTATTGTTACCCTTTTTCCCCTTAGAATTGAATGCATTTATGAGAGAAAAGTAAAACTGGAATAAAAAAGTTTTAAACCTTCTAAAATGTGAGGTCCTAATCTAGAACAATTGTACCTCTAAACCCAAAATCATTTTCCTTGCTTTGGAACCCCTTAAGTGGTATCGTAAGTTTCATTCTTTTGGTCTTGGTTGCTACCCTGGAACAAAGCAGCCCAGACCAATCTCTTAAAGATTTTGTACCTAACAATAAAACAATAAAACCATAGAGACCAGACAGCTAGGGGCAAATAAGGGGCTGCCTAGTTAATAAGCCCAATGCCCCAGTTCCTTCTGAGTCTTAGATAGGTTCTCTCTTTTTTTTTTTTTTTTTTAAATATATTTTATTGATTTTGTACAGAGAGGAAGGGAGAGAGATACAGAGTTAGAAACATCGATGAGAGAGTCATCAATCAGCTGCCTCCTGCACACCCCCTACTGGGGATATGCCCGCAACCAAGGTATATGCCCTTGACCGGAATCGAACCCGGGACCCTTCAGTCCCCAAGCCGACGCTCTATCCATTGAGCCACACCGGTTTCGGCTAGATAGGTTCTTTGTTCTACATTCAAATCTCTGGGAAACTAATGCTGTTTGATCAAGTGCAGGATGAAACAACATGTACTTTTGGGCCCTTGGGATTTCCCAGGATCAGGCTCTGGTGGCTGGGAGAATTACTCACCTTTCTTCTACCTGGTGGTCTTCACTTGGCACCTATTATCAGTTGAGGGGGGTGGCTGGGTCATGTCAATGGCTGTTAACAGACTGAAGTTTTTTAACTCACAGGTCTTCTGGCTCATCCCCCCTACAGCCCACAACCTGGAGCTGTACGAGAATTGGCTGCTGTCAGGGAAACAGGGAGACATCTTTCTGGGTGACCGGGTGTCAGATTGCCAGCGCATTGAGCTCAAGCAGGGCTATACCTTCGTCATTCCCTCAGGTAAGCAGGACAGGAGACGTGGATCATCTACTCTGGCCACTGTTTTTTCTTAAGTCAAAGAATTGATGCATTCCTGCCAGCAATGATTATGATGCCGGGGCAGGCAGAAACATCAGTGTCCTTTCCTGTTGTTACGGAGTGGGTGCTGAGTTTTGTGTTTTTTTAAAGGCAGTGATTTTCCACTAAAGGTATATATATGGATGCTTTTCAGACCTATATGTTTGGGCCCCACATTAGCCCTAGAAATTCAGAATCTCTAGATAAAACCAGTTCTGCAGGTGATGCACAACCCCTGGTTTAGAACTACCTGCTCCTCTAGATGCTGGCTGTGAAGGCTAGAGAAAGTGCTGAATCAGCGATACTTTTTATCAGGTCATTAATTCCCAAGTAATTCTCAGAGCATAGCTTTTAGGGTCACAGATACGTATTAGAATTCTGACTGTGCATTTACCTGCTAAACCACTTTGTCAAGTATTTAAATCTGTTTTATTTTGTTGTGAGGAGTCAATGAGAATACATGTAAACTCTTGTACTGAGCCCGATCATAGTAAGTACTCCAATAAATAGAAGCAGCATTTATTAAAAGTTTGTTATATCTCTCTCTCCAATTATTTTGGGGGGAGGCAACCAAAATTTTTGGTGGACTTGTTTTGACAAGGCTTTAAAATAAATTATATGCGAAACACTTTACATTCATTTTTCTCATTTAATGCTTACCAACAAGCATGTAAAATAGAATTCATGTTTTATCGAGGATAGTGAAACTGCAAGAGATTAAATAACCTGACCAGTCACTAAGAGACAGAAAAAAGGTGTGGGGTAGGGATCTGAGAGAGCCCATTGTGTAATGTGTGCTTAAGCTGCTACCCTTCATTTCCTTTCTGCCAGGCTGGATTCATGCTGTGTACACTCCCACAGATACCTTAGTGTTTGGAGGCAATTTTTTGCACAGTTTCAATATCCCCATGCAGTTAAAAATATACAACATTGAAGATCGGACACGGGTAAGTAATTCTGTATAACAGTTGATGTGAACAGGATTACTCCAGTTAGATAGATAGATAGATAGATAGATAGATAGATAGATAGATAGATAGATATAAGAGATTCATTGATAGTTTATTTCAAAACTTCAATTTTTCTTTGAACTAAAATGCAGTGTTCACATTTTGGGGACACTGAAAGGAAAGTTTTAAGATCTACATGCTTGATTTGGGGGACTCCAATTCCTGGAGATTCTTGGTATCTCAGATTTTTATGGGGCTAGAGGTAGACATTGGATAGTCTCTTGAGCCATGTTTTTCTTTTTTATGCTCTTAGAATAATTTGTTTAATGGGATTTATCAAATCAAGATCCACAACATTAAATTCATGTATCTTTCTTTATTAACACTCAAACTATTGTAGTTTAATATAGAAACGTGTATACTGCCTTTCTCAACTGAGAGAAACCTATGAGGGAATTCAGTATTGTAGAAAATGATTTGTGTTTTGTTTTCTGTTTTCCTTAAGATGGTGCAGAGCTGATTTTATTCTAGATGTGTAGGGAAAAAGTTAGTTCATTATATGCAGGAGGTACTTTAAAGCAGGATTTAACCTTTTCTGTAAAGGACCAGATAGTAGAAATGTTAGGCTTTGTGGGCCATACAATATCCATTGTCTAACTCTGTCTTGTAGAATGAATTTTAACATAGCTTAAATAAAATAAAGTTTTACTTATGGACACAAATTTGAATTTCACATATTTCACATAATTTTCCTGTGTCACAAATGCTCTTTTAGGGTATTTTTTCAACCATTTAAAAATATGAAAGCAGCCAAAACTGGTTAAAATATATTAAAAATATATATATATGAAAGCTGAAACCGGTTTGGCTCAGTGGATAGAGCATCGGCCTGCAGACTGAAAGGTCCCAGGTTCAATTCCGGTCAGGGGCATATACCTTGGTTGCGGGCACATCCCCAGTCGGAGGGTTGCAGGGGGGAGCTGATCAATGATTCTCTCTCATCGATGTTTCTAGCTCTCTATCCCTCTCCCTTCCTCTCTGTAAAAAGTCAATAAAATATTTATATTTTTTAAATGTGAAAAACACTCTTAGCTCACAGCCTTATAAAACATCAGCTGCTACTTGTTGGCTGACCCATGCCTTAGGGGTAAATAGGCTCAATTCTTTAGCAAACTCTTGTTGGTAAGGGCTCAATTATATCTGAAGATGATTAAAGTATAAATGATATTGACATTAAACAGCAATTAGAGTACAGATAGTTAGAGCACGTGATGTCCATAACTTGCTCTGAGGTAGTTCAGCAAATAACAGCACATATGAATAGAGATTAGCAGAGAAACATCAGTGATGAGAGAGAATCATTGATTGGCTGCTTCCTGCATGCTCCCTACTGGGGAGGAGCCTGCAACCCAGGCATGTGTCCTTGACCAGAATCGAACCTGGGACCCATCAGTCCCCAGGCTGACGCTCTTATTTTCTGAGCCAAATGAGCCAGGGCAGACTTGAAAGTTTTAAAAATTAAAAAGTAGCAGTTAGTAAAGAATTTACACCTTTAGTAGGAACAGGCATTGGCCTGTTTACTGTGAACATGGTCAGTTTTGGTATCTATTTTGGTGTCTATTTTGAAACATTTATTTGGTTATGAACTACTTATCCTATCTAATAAAGAGGGAATATGTGCCAAAACCGGTTTGGCTCAGTGGGTAGAGCGTCAGTCTGCGGACTGAAAGGTCCTGGGTTTGATTCCAGTCAAGGGCATGTCCCTGGGTTGGGCACATCCCCAGTCAGAGGTATGCAAGAGGCAGCTGATCGATGATTTTCTCTCATTGATGTTTCTAACTCTCTATCCCTCTCCTTTCCTCTCTGTAAAAAATCAATAAAATATTTTTTTTAAAGGAGGGAATATGCTAACTTACTGTCATGCCCTCACAAAGATGGTGGTGCCCATAGCCAATAAGGAGGGAATATGCTAATTGACTCCCATGCCTTCAAAGATGGCGGTGCCCATAGCCACGAGATAGCAGCACTAGGTCCCCTCAGTCCCACTGGGGCAGCAGGCATGCAATACAGCCGAGCCTCAGATGGTGGCTGCTCAGTCGCCCAGGGCCACCTGAGGCTCAGGTAACCAGGGCCAGCCAAGGCTCACACTGCCGGCAGTGGCAGCAGCAGAGGTGTGATGGGAGCATTGCCTTCCCCTGATTGCCTGGTCTCCTCCTGCCCCTCAGGGCTCCTGGACTGAGAGAGGTCAGGCTGAGGGACCCCCCTCCAGTGCATGAGTTTCCATGCACTGGGCCTCTAGTTATCTTATACACAAGGTTGGTACTGTTGGAGTTACAGAGATTGCCCTATTAGTAGAATTAAAAGGATATGGTGCTTTTTAAATGAATTTTCTAAAGGTGAACTTCTGCTTTTTTATTAAGCATAATGAAACTACAAAAGATAGTAAGGATTTAATAAGTTTGAAGTTGTGAGAATCCTGTATAATAAAGAGCTATAGGCTAATTAGATCAAACAGCAGAATGACCATCTGGATGACCTTCCAGACGAAGCTGGGGCTGTGAGCCCTTGCACAAATTTCATGCATCGGGCCTGCAAGAGTTAATATTATATTATTCCATTTTCTTAAGTATGACTTAATTCTGTTATTTCAAATAAGGAACCCTTCTGTTTCTATAAAATGAAGCAGTGCTTTGTTTTGTTTTTAATTGCTTCCTACAACAATCTTTTATGTGCTAAGTACCAACCTGGTATGTATTTACTATATTATTAATCTATAAACTTACAGAATTTAAAGGAGAATATAAAAAGATGTTTTATGAAAGAAATATAAATTTAAGGCAATGCTTTGGTTACTTTTGCCATGCCAGTGTAGAAATATACTATATAAACTCACGTGTTAATAATTATTTGCCTGATAGTGTTTAAAGGATCAATAATTTTGTAATGAGGAACTTAAAATTTTTTTGCAAAAAATTTGAATCCAGTCTCAAATTGATATGCTCTCTGGTGTCTGGCAGGATAGGTAAAATGTAGCAAGACAGGATGATGGGTATGTGATATCCTGACTCTTACGAATATAATCTGATGAGTTCAAGTAAAAAATAAAAAGTTTGATGTCCTATTATATGTTTCCTTTTTTTTTCTTATCAATATTTCTCAGTTCTGGCTTTTCACTGCTGATAGCGCTCGCAAACATGGTGAACGTTCCTAAAACCCGCCAAACTTTCTGTAAGAAGTGTGGCAAGCATCAACCCCACCCAGTAACACAGCACAAGAAGGGCAGGACCCTCTGTGCAGGGAAAGCGGCGTTAGGACAGGAAGCAGAGTGGCTATGGTGGGCAGACTGAGTCTGTTTTCCGAAAAAAGGCTAAAACTACAAAGAAGATTGTGCTGAGGCTTGAATGCGTTGAGCTAACTGCAGATCTAAGAGAATGCTGGCTATTAAGAGATGCAAGCATTTTGAACTGGGAGGAGATAAGAAGAGAAAGGGTCAAGTGGTCCAGTTCTAGAGCGTTGTATTCTGTTTTATTATATGACAATAAAATCTTGATATGTTAAAAAAATATATTACTCAGTTCTGAAGAGTCCCAAATGGCTTTAATTTGGGGAGACCATCTATTTATTAATTTTTGTGGTCCATCCCCTTATCCTACTGAGAAGTAAATTAATTTGACTTTTAATTAAGAGATTAGAAACCTCTTCTTGTTGGAGCCACGTAAGAGCCCCAGAGCCTGGGTTCTCTGTGGTGGAAAACTAATGAGAAGTACATGCCGCACCTGCCTGGGGCTGGGGAAAGCGCCCTATGACCTGGTGAAGGGTTTGCAGTCACATGTTCTACCATTGAGTTGCACCCTTTCTTGGTGAAGCGTTTTGAAAAGGGACTCCCACCCAGATCACCTGGATTTAGGAAGACTGCCTGCCATGGAGCTTTGGAAAGGAGTTGTGAACATTCTCGGGAATTGCATATTTAGGACAGTCTTTAAAACGTGGTGTGGCTTCATCTTCTGAACGGTGGCCTCCCAGAAGGAAGACAACGGACTATATTTAGGATAGTCCCCATCACTGATCTTCACTGAATAACAATACGTACTGATTTGCCTTTTCCTTGGCTTTGGTAGATCTAAAGGACAATTCTTTTTATTATTATTTAGCTGGAATAATTTCATGGCACTTTGGGGGGAAATGGAAAGAAAACTGAAGATAGTGACTGATTAGGCCATGTGGAACAGTAATCTTGATTTGTGGACACAACGTCTTAGCGAACTACGAAGTACATGACGGCAAGCTGCGAGTTGATAGCAGGGAAAGTATTCAGTCTTGTGTCCTAGCCTGGATATAGCTAGAGAATGAGTCTCTGCTTATACTTTCATAGATGTAAGGACATAATAAAAACATATAACTTAATTTCATGTTCCGTTTTTCCATCAGATTCTTGTTCCATGGCCTTCTTATTCAGAATAGAACCAGAGGAGAGGCCTGGCGGGCCTTTGTATTCCAAGAGCCCTGAGACCGTTTTCTCAGTTCTGTGTTCTGTGTCTCACATGATAACTCGCTGTCCCAGAGCTTCTTTTTGATGCTTTCCTAGTCAGAAGTTTTAAATAATGTCAGTTTTTTGGTTGTTCTGAATGGTCTTTCCAAGAACCTTTTATCTTTAGTGATTGTTTCCCAAGATCAACATTTCCCAAGTTGTTAGATAGAAAATGCCAGCCTGGGTTTTCAGGTTGACCAGTTTTTTCTAGATTAATTATTGCAGTGATACAGTTAGCTTACTTGCTTTTAAAATTGATATCAACTTTCTTTTCTCATTATTTTGCTCCTGTAGGTTCCAAATAAGTTTCGCTATCCATTCTACTATGAGATGTGTTGGTATGTGTTGGAGCGCTATGTGTACTGCATAACCAACCGCTCCCACCTAACCAAGGAGTTTCAGAAAGAGTCCCTCAGCATGGGTAAGTGTTCTGCCTGGACAAACTTTCAAGACACCCCGCAGGACTGAGGCGATGGCCAGGAATATTCAGCAGGCTGTTGCTCAATAGTTTTGTTTTTATTTTATTTTCGGGTTTTTTTGTTTTGTTTTGTTTTTACTTATCTACCTGAAAGAACCAAATTTAGTCATTGGAGTTGAATGCTGGTTCATAGCTGATCTCCTACCCAGATGTGAATTATTAGGCTAAATGAAATATTCTGGATATCACATTTGTCTGAGTTTATTATTACTTCACTCCTCAAGAAAGGAATCAATTGTCTGGTACGTGTCTTACTTTTTAAAAAAAAATTTATTAAATATATTGGGGTATTAAATAGAGTCATAGGCTACTATTGTACATTTCTATGATACATAACTTGTATATTAAATTGTGTGCCCACTACCCAAAGTCTATCATCTTCCATCACCATATATTTGGCCCACTTTACACTCTTCATCTTCCTCTCACCTCCATCCTCTCTCTTCTGGTCACTACCATGCTGTTGTCTGTGTCTAAGCTTGTTTGTTTATTGCTTTCAGTTTTATATCCCACGTATATATGGCTAAGTAGTATTTCATAGTCTGTATGTACCGCATTTTTATCCAGTCATCCATCTGAGGACACTTAGATTGTTCCCATGTCTTGGCTATGGTGAATAATGCTGCAGTGTGCGAGCATAGGAAGTACAAATGTCTTTATGAATAAATTTGGGGGGCAGATACCCAGAAGATGGATTTGTGGGTCTTATAGTAGCTCAATTATTAGTTTACAAAACTATTTTTTAAGTATGCTAGTATGTGCTTCATGCTACTTTTTAAAAAGGTAATTAAATCATAACCCCAAATTTGAGTTTGAACTTGAAACTAATTTACAGTAATTTTCATAGGTAACTTATTTTTAGCACACAAAACGGGGTTCTTCTCAATCTTCTGAAAATCCTATAGCCATGATTCTTAACAATGGACATATGGGTGTTGGAATAAGGAGAGATCATTTTAAACGTGTTACAACTTCATTATTACTTGAAGGCCCCGCCTACGCTGCCTGTTTCTCTCATTGGCCGTATTGGCCAAGTGGCTTGTTCTTACTGCATTTTTTTTTCTCATACCAACAGATTTGGAGTTAAATGGGTTGGAATCTGGAAATGGAGATGAAGAAGCAGTGGATCGAGAACCCCGGCGCCTGAGCAGCAGGCGTTCTGTCCTCACTAGCCCAGTAAGCAATGGGGTCAACTTGGATTATGACGGACTGGGCAAAGCCTGCCGAAGTCTTCCAAGTCTGAAGAAAAGCTTGTCTGGAGACTCATCATCTGACTCTAGCCGGGGCTCGCACAACGGCCAAGTGTGGGATCCCCAGTGTAGTCCCCAGAAGGACAGGCCCGTGCATCTGACCCATTTTGAGCTCGAAGGCCTTCGCTGCCTTGTAGACAAGTTGGAGTCTCTGCCGCTGCACAAGAAGTGTGTCCCCACAGGCATAGAAGATGAAGACGCTCTGATTGCTGACGTAAAGGTAAGAGTTTCTTGTGTTCTATGACAGCTACTGACCTGGCTAGAGCGGCTAATTTCCGGATTCCGAGAGAGAAATTTTGCATAGTTCCTGGTTTATCAGAAATTATGTATATGTTTGTACTGCATAGTATTTCAGTTCCTAAAAAGACATGTCTGTTGTAAAAACACAAATTGCAGGTTGCTTTTTAAAATCTTTAAAGAAGAGCCTGAGAAAGTGTTTATATTAGGAAATATTACTTTAGCCCTAACTGGTTTGGCTCAGTGAATAGAGCATCGGCCTGTGAACTCAAGGGTCCCAGGTGTGATTCTGGTCAAGGGCATGTACCTTAATTGCAGGCACATACCCAGTAGGGAGTGTGCAGGAGGCAGCTGATCAATGTTTCTCTCATCAATATTTCTAACTCTCTTTCCCTCTCCCTTCTCTCTGTGAAAACTCAGTAAAATATAAATGAATAAAAAGAAATATTACTTTAAACTTAAGTTAACCTCAGATAAACAGGCCTATTTCAGAACAAAAGTAGCCAGTCTATCATTCTTACCCCAAGCTAAGAAAAAAATTATTTTATGTTGGGTTATATTAAGTAGATTTAGCATATTTAGTTTCAGATTTATCCAGTAATAAGACTTAAATATATTAGGGCAACTTCTAAAAATATGTTATTTTAGACATAATGCAACCTATTATATCAAGTTTCTTCATGTCATATATCTTTCTTTTTTCAAGAGATCTCTCAGCCCTAGTTAGTTTGGCTCAGTGGATAAAGCGTCGGCCAGCAGACTGGAGGGTCCCAGGTTCGATTCCAGTCAAGGGCATATTCCTGGTTTCAGGCTTAATCCCCAGTGGGGGGCGTGCAGGAGCCAGCCAGTCAATGACTCATCATTGATGTTTTTTCTATCTCTCTTTCTCCCTTCTCTGAATCAATAAAAATATATATTAAAAAAAAGGTAGATCTCCCAGTATTAGCAATCTTGAAAGCCTTTCCCACCCCTCATGTGTTATGTTAGTCTCAGAGAAATGAGGTTTTTTTTTAATATGTTCTTATTTTTAAGATATTTTTATTGATTTCAGAGGAAGGGAGGAGAGAGAGAGAGAAACATCAATGGTAAGAGAGAATCCTTGATCTGCTGCCTCCTACATGCTTTCTACTGGGGACTGAGCCCGCAACCCATGTGCATGCGCCCTGACTCATAGGTCGATGCTCAGCCACTGAACCATGCTAGCCGGGCAAAATTGAGTTTATTTTTAAGGAATCCAGATTTAGACCTTCTGAACTGGAGGGAGCTCTTTAAGTATTTTCTCATAGGTAGCCATTAAAGTGAACACTAAAAAATGAAAAGCTGGAAATAACAGTTTTAAGTCAGTGTCATACAAATACACGATAAAGTGACGCCACTTGCCTCTTCCAGAGCAAACCTTATAAAACAAAACTTGGTTGGGTTATGTGTATTAGAAAGCTAGCTCACAATTTGTAATAAGTGTTCTTTTTAAAACCTGTCATAGATTATTTTAAGCCTCAGAAGGATTATAGGGAATACTTTTGTCACCTTAAGATAAATGGGCTAAATATCTCATAGTAGGTTTTTTTTTTCCATCTCTGATTCCTGATTCAAGTTTTTCTTTGGTCGCCACTAAAGTGCTTCCTACCTTTTTCAGCTACCTCAGGAAAGAATTTCAAAGACTGAAATAGGACCTGAACCTTTTTTTCTTTTTATGATTGGATTTTCATTATATCTTGTTGTTTATACATCAGTAAAAAGGTAAAAATTAGAGAGGCTATGCCCTAACCGGTTTGGCTCAGTGGATAGAGCGTCAGCCTGCAGACTGAAGGGTCCCAAGTTTAATGTTGAGAGAGAATCATTGGTCGACTACCTCCTGCACACCCTTCCCCGCTAGAGATTGAGCCTGAAATCTGGGTATGTGCCCTTGACCGGAATCGAACCCAGGACCCTTTAGTCCGCAAGCCGACACTATCCACTGAGCCAAACCAGCTAGGGCCAGAATTTTTTTTTTTTTTTTAATATATTTTATTGATATTTTTACAGAGAGGAGGAAGGGAGAGAGATAGAGAGCTAGAAACGTCAGTGAGAGAGAAACATCGACCAGTTGCCTCCTGCACACCCCCTACCGGGGATGTGCCTGCAACCAATGTACATGCCCTTGACAGGAATTGAACCTGGGACCTTTCAGTCCGCAGACCGATGCTCTACCACTGAGCCAAACCGGCTTCGGCTAGGGCCAGAATTTTTTTATGTAGCCATTCCATCATGGATACATGTGGGAAATAGAAAATTATGACTTTGGGAATTTAATGATTTGTATAATTGTCTTTAAGAACCCTAAGAAGAAAGATTTCCTAATTTATATCTCACTAACATTCTTTTGGCCTGGGTATTTCTGACTCATGAAAAAGAAAAATATATTTTCAATCCTAAGTGTTGCCTATAGTGATTTCCAGAATCCAGTTGTAGGAAGCTAATCATTTGTACAAGGTCAAGTATCATGATCAAAATAGGCACACTCTCCTACCTCAGCAGTTAAATAAGAATGTTTGAGGAGGCAGCGTGGTAAGAGGAAATTTTAAAAGGTTTGGTTCAAATATTAAGCAATGTAAAAGAAGGCTACTATTGTAGAAGGGCGGTGAGTTTAGAAGATGCATCTGAAGAGCACTCTTCGCATTATAGAAGGGTCTAGAGAGAGCACCCTTCTGTTTATCAGTGATCATGAGAACATGGCTGCCGCTGCTGGCTAAGATGGAATAGCAGAGAGCAGAGCATGAGGAACGAGTCTTTAGTAAGATGACTGCATAGGCTGACAGTGCTTGCATTTCCCCTGCGAGGCTTTTCCACGCTGCTTTTGTTACTCAACACCATAATCATAATCAGAAGATGACAGCCTCAGATCCCAGCTCTGCAGGTACTTCCACTTAAGATCAAATTAATTGCCCGGCCAGCATGGCAACGGTGGTTGAGTGTCACCCTATGAACCAGGTCACAGATTCAATGCCCGAATTATGGGCTCGATCTCATGTGTGGGTCGTGCAGGAGTCAGCCAATCAATGGTTTTCTTTCATCATTGATATTTCTCTCTCTCTGATATCAGTGAAATGTTATTTTAAAAAAGATCAAATGAATTAATCATTCCTACGTTTGACTCTATTTAATCGGAGCTTTAGATAATAGTGAGTTTGGAGCCTGAATCATTTGAAAATCTGAAGGGAAAAAAGCATTGGGTTGGGTAAGTGCCGAGTAACTACACAACTAGAGACTCTAGCGCTGGAGAACTTAGCGTTGGAGGCACAGAAGCCCCACTGCAGCGGGGGACAGAGCGAGCTTCCTTTACCTTCCTGCAGAGGGCGGGACTGTTTCTGCGGGAGCCTCTTGGTTTTGCTGAGAGCCATAAATAACTGGCAGAAGAGAGGAGAGGAAAAGTGGTGAGATGAGATGTTCATAAACATATTCTCTGGAAGAAAAGTCAGTCTTGGTGATGTGGTACAAGGGCTTTGAGGGGGCCAAAATGTTAAGTTCTACAGTGATGAAGAGCGAATCATAGGATATAGAGTTGGAAGGGGATTCGATTAAAAAGTGTTGACTTGATGGTAAAATTCAAGGGAAAGTAATTAGTATGTGTAAAGTTCTGATTAAGAGGGGTGTGGATAACCTTGAATCCTAAAAGTAGACTAAAAATAGAATGGAGTTCTCTCCTCCTGTGAGATATTTCACGTTTCTAAAATTGAGAAGTTGTGTCCTGGATAGATGCTGAATCAAGAGGCAGGACCTGGAGCAGTGTGTATAGTAAGTCCCATTAATGTAAGAAAGAGTCCCTTTGTATGTGCATTGTGGGGGGAGGGCACATCAACTGCTGACAGCAAGGTGGTGCGAGTCAGCTGGAAGACTGAGTTTTATCAGACTATTGTTTTGTTTGTGCTTGTTTTGATAATAAAGAAGATCTCAATATCTGTAAAAGAAGTTTTTAATATATCAGTATAGCCCTAGTTGGTTTGGCTCAGTAGATAGAGTATCGGCCTGCGGACCGAAGGGTCACCGGTTCGATTCTGGTCAAGGGCATCTACCTCGGGTGCAGGCTCCTGGCCCTGGTTGGGCTCGTGCAAAGGCAGCCAATCGGAGTGTTTCTCTCACATCGATATTTCTCTCTGTCTTTCCCTCTCTCCCACTCTCTGAAAACCAATGGAAAAAAAATATTCTTGGGTGAGTACAAAAGTACACATATGCCTAACTTGTTTAATGAGAAATTCGGTGTTGTTGAATATTTTTCTATTTTCATGTTTGCTCTTAAAGCATTTACTAGTAGATCAGCTTGACAACCATTTGACTTTGGGGCAAAGCCTGTTTTTCCTCTATAAATAACATCTACCTCAGTGGGGCTGTTAGGAAATTAATGATGTTAGTAAAGTATTTAACAAATAGTATTATTACAGAAAAAAATAGATGTTACAAATCTTTGAAATTCATTTATTTTGCTACTTTGAACGATGCCTAGTCGGTGCCAGGAATCATGCTTAGTGTTGGAATAAACATGCAAACATTTCAGGGACTCAGCCCTCAAGGGGCTGGCAGTCCAGCGGTGGAACAGCATTTAAACGGTTAAGGAAGTGAGTGCATTTTAGGTTCCAGGCGCTGTGCGTGACACAGGGCTCAGAGTACACAGGGAGGGCCCAGGGGTAGATTCTGTCCTGGGGGAGGAGATTCAGTCTTCTTCATTCACCAGTTAATAAACTTGCCTGCTAGATGATACAGATTGATTACTTCAATATTATGTAGATTTTAAAATCTCTCAATTTATAAATTTGAAAACTACTTTGTGGTTCAATAGGCTACTGCTGCTTCTATCTAAAATTCTAACGTTTTATTTTGTAATTATGGTCTAAAAATTTACTCCCAGGAGTGTGATGAGATTGAAGCCAGAGTTTGGTTACAAATAAATACAGAAGCACTGATCAGAAATTTTTTTTATCTGATATTAATAAAGAGAATAACTGGTAGAGGTCCCAGTGTAATTAGATTTTAATCCAGTAAACCAGATTAGGAGTGGGGGAAAGCAACCTGTATAAATAAAACTTTATTTGCAATTCTTACTAACAATATATTTATAATAATTTGCATTCTTATTGAATAGAAAGTTTTAAAATTTTTAACTCAGTTATAGGCACATAGGTTAGCCCTGGCCAAGTGTGGCTTAGTTGGTCAGGTGTGGTCCTGTACACCAAAAGGTTGCCAGTTCGATTCCTGGTCAGGGCATATTCTCTGGGTTCCAGGTTCAATCCCCGGGAGGGGACATGCATCCAATCGATGTTTCATTCTCACATCAATGTTTCTCTCTAAAAATCTATTTTAAAATTGTTTTTAAAAAAGGTATATAGAGTAGGTTAAAATAGATTGTCTTTAAAATATTTCCATTATGTTTCTGTATTATGTAATGTCACGTTCTTAATAATTCTGATCTTTTTAACCTTTATTTTTGAATGAACAGATCAATTTCATTTTATTTGAGAAAGAGAAACATTGATGTGAGAGAGACACGTCAATTGGTTGCCTCCTGTATGTACTGCAACCTGGGGCGGAGAACGAACCCCTGACCCAGATATGTACCCTTGACCGGCAATCGAAACCAAGACCCTCCAATGCATGGGCCGATGCTGTAACCACTGAGCAATACCAGTCAGGGCTAATTCTGATCTTTGTTGCCTATCTTTTATCCTGAATTAATGGGGGCAGGGGGCGGCCTATTAATTTGTGATTTGGAGGCTTACTTGGAGTGTTTCCTAGGGCCCTGTCTGTTTTTGTTCTTTTCTGTGACTTCCAAGAATTTATACTTGCTACAACCTGAACTTGTATTTTGTTTCAGAGTAACATGTTCCTCTTAAGTACCTGTATTTTATCATCCCTCTAAGTTAGATAGCCCTAAGATCAAAATAAGCATTTTCTGCTCTGGCCAGATAGCTCAGTTGGTTAGAGGGATGTCACGTAAGGAAAGTTTTTCACACGTAATAGAATAGGCTGATTGAGTCTTCGAGTCTCAAGAATAAGTGCAAAGAAGAGATCTGGGATAGAATGACCATATAAACATTTCCAGAAGCACTCCACCAGAGAGCACAAACGTTCCTCCTCTCTTCGGCAGGCTGCTGTACAAAGTAAAGTGTGCAGCCCCGAAAGGTACTAGAGACTCACTGGAACAGCCATGCTGAGAGTGACAATTCCCAGGGTGAGAGCTAGGGTCTGAGTGGCCTGAAATGTTTATTGCAGTGCAGCCTCTGTCATTTTCAGAAAACTCAGGTTATATTTCTGAGAGTCTAAAGATTACATTTTAAAATTACATAAATCTCGACCCAAAATATGATCCTCTGTCGCCTGAGTGACTGCTTGTTCAGAGCTTCGCCCTTTCTGATTGGTGCGGGGAGAGTGGGTGACGCGCAGCGCCCCAGTGGCATCCAGGCGCCTGGCCGGGCGGTGTGCTGAGGGCCGGTGCCCTGCAGGTGGGTGACCGGAGGCAGAATGAGCAGGAGAAGTTAAGGTCCCAGGAGACTGTCTGTACACATTTGCTGTCTCCCTGCTCTCAGGTCACACTCAGATAATCTGACTTGGTCAGAAGACTTACCCTGTGGCTCCCAGTCACAGCCCGAGGCCGGCATCTGTTGTAGGCAGTGATGTTAAACAGAGACACTGTTCGGAATCTCTCTGTATTCGTTGGGACGTATCGTTCCTGAAGGTGTTTCTGGAAACGTGTGTGCGGTCTGTATTCTGGGCTGGGAGAGCAGCAGTGAGGGCGGTTGAAGCAAGTCATGTAAGCGGAGAGGAGCCTCAGCTCAGCTTCCGCCTGCGAGGCGGACCTTCCGAGCGAGCGAGCAGGAAGTCTGGGTCTGAGAGGGTGCTAACTGTCGGAGAGGTGACCCTGCAGGGAAGGGTGTGGGCTGGTACGGGACTACGGCGGGGCTGCCAGCGGGAGGCTCTCCCTCCCTGGCTGGCGCCCGCCGGAGCGGCCAGCGCCCTCGGGCACCCGGCTCCGATTGCAGGGGGCCGGCCCGGCGGCTCCTCCAATGCGGGCGGAGCGGCTGGGAGCACCTCCCCCCGGCTCTGCAGCAGCAGCCGGCCCCCCTGCCATCTTCCGTTGCAAAGCATTTCTGGGAGCTGCATGTGGGTGACGCAGCAGCATTGTTCGCGCAGAGGAAGCGCGCTGCTGAAGGTCTCTGGAAGGAGCTCCGAGCCGCGCTCGCTCCCTGGGGCGGGCCGTCCTGCCTGTGCACTCCGGCAGCTTTCCGAATTTCCGCTAAATCGGGTTTTCCGAGAGGCAGAAAACCTAACTCCTTCAGCACAACTTCCAGCCCAGGAAACAAAACAAAGCCGCCGGGAAACTTCAGCCCGAGCCCAGCTCCAGAGGGACAGAGCACAAGGTCAGCGGCGGGGCCTTCCTGGTCCGGGGTGTGGAGCTGGGCTTGGCGGAAGCAGAGGGACCGCGCCGCAGCCAGGACAATGCGAGGCCACTTTATGTCGGCGGCCGCACGGCACTGCTCTGTCCCTCGTTGTGGGATGTGCTTCTGAACTGGGTCGCTCGGCTTTTGGGAATCCATCCCCTCCTCCGCCCAGCCCCGCTGCTCCCTCCCCTTCCTGTGCCGGGTGGGGTGTAGGCTGTGTTTGAATGTTCTCCTAAACCAGGCTTCTAGATAGGCGTTAGCCTTCTGCATGCCGCCCCCGCTCGCTGTCCCAAACCCCCGCCGTGAGGGCTGTGGCTGCTTTCTATGGGTTCGTGAAGAGCCGCAGCGGAGTCTGTCTTTCTCCGTGAAAACGGGGTGCTTGGTTGTGTGGCCCCAGCAGAATAAGGCTTGGAAGGCGATCCGCATTTCCCTCCGCACCCACACAGACCCAGTAACCGAGTCTATGTTAACAGCCCCCTCCCACTTCCTCCCACCCGTCCCCACAGAAACCCAGCTGGGAGCACAGGCTGCTTCTGGTGCCGTTAGGCTCCGTTCCACTCTGCAGTCCGGCAGTTGCGGCTCTCTGTGCCGTCTGTTTGGCCGAAAGTGGAAAGTCCCTATTTGTGGACAGCCCTGAGCGCCCTGAGCGCTCTGGGGAGAGGAAATGGGCAGAGTCCTCCCGCCGCGGTGCGAGGCGGGGGAGGGGAGCTGTGCATTCTCAGGCTCACATTCTGAATGGACTGAGTTTTCCACCCCAGGGAGATGAGAGCCCACACCGGAGTCTTGTCCAGAGGCACCGCACCCTGCCTCTGTGCCCCACGCAGTGTGGTACTAACAGGAGGCTCCAGAATAGGGTGCCATAGCAACTCCGAGTAAATAAACGGCTGGACATGAAATCCGTTTGGGCGAGGGGGCGAGGCATCTGGAGGCTTGGCAAAGGGGATCTTCAGAGAGAAGCTTCCTGGGTGTGAGTTGAAGGGTCTCTCTGAGTCCCCTTCTCTGGGTTTGGAACGTGATCCTCAGGTTCAGGAGAAAAATGCTGGTAAGGCGATGCCTCCTGCCTCAGAAAGTTTGGTCTCTAGGCAGAGAGCCCACAGGTTATGAGAGTGATTAGGAAAGGTGACCAAGCATACTGACCTATCCAGGATCAAAGTTTCGTTTTCTCTGAACAGTTAATATCCTACATTCACCAAGGAGTCATGTCACTTGTCTTCTGGATTTGTGTGTATTTGACGGTGTCATTCCTTTAAGACTCATGAGGTCAGAGGGATTTCATCCTGCTGGGTTTGGAATTCAGAACTTTGTCTATAAAACTTTAAAGGTTTCAAAATAACACTCAACCACTGTGATTCACTTAAGTGGCAGTTTCTTACTGTGGTATTATTCCTAAGTCATTCAAACTAGATCGGTTAAAGCCATGAGAGCACTATTGTTCCTAAGATTGTTCGTGCCCTATTTATAGGAATAAAGGCAAATAATTGACCGCGCATGTGTGTGTGTGTGTGTGTGTGTGCGTGCGTGCGTGCGTGCGTGCGTGCGTGCGTGTGTGTGTGTGTGTGTGTGTAAGAGAGAGAGAGAGATTTAAGGTTGAGATTTCTGTAATCAACCTTAGAAGAACAGAGCCCTTGGTTGAGGTAGACAGGTAGACATTAAGACTCTGCTGTTCAGATTATTAATTCAGTATTAGCATATATGTATGTATGTATGTATGTATGTATTTACCATTTTGCTGACATCTGCAAATTGAAGTCAGTACTTACTATCTGGCAGTACTCATTAACTGGTATGAAAAAGTAAAAGGGTGAAGTAAAGTTTTACTGTCATCTGTAGAACTAATGGGACAAGTCACACTTGTAACCAGGGTAGCTAGCTGCTTCAGTGAAAGTGTCAACAGTGTAGTGCACACACAAGAACCAGGCTGGGAGCAAAGATACAAGTTTTGACAGTATTGTACTACTTTAAGTTTTCTCTTTCGTTTCAGTAATGAAGTGAAAATAGAGGCAGCTGATTCCCTGGCCTTCCCCTTGGTGCTTATGGGGACTGAGGCTGAGGAGTGATGGCCTTGTTCACCGTGCCCTCTTCTTCTGTCCTCCCCTTAGGTTTTGCTGGAGGAGCTTGCCAACAGTGATCCCAAGTTAGCCCTCACTGGCGTCCCTATAGTACAGTGGCCGAAAAGGGATAAGGTAAGAAACTGTTCTTCTGGACCTTCAGGTTCTAAATTACTTACTGTTTTGACCGCTATTATTCTGGAAGAAAAAAGGACAACTGGAAGCATTTGGTGCATGACTATAAAGGGACTGAAAATCATTCCTCAGTTTGTTCGGGCTCTTAGGTCAGGGTGATTGGCTGTCTTTGGAGGTGACGCTCTTAACAAAACTATCCAACTACCGTGTTTCCCCGAAAATAAGACATCCTCCGAAAATAAGACCTAGCGCATGGAAAGATAAGACATCCCCTGAAAATAAGACCTAGCGCAACTTTGGGAGAAAAAATTAATATAAGACACTGTCTTATTTTCGGGGAAACAAAGTAGGAGACCTGTCTCCAAGTTCGGGTGCCAAGGTATGCATTTGTTCACCAGAATGGGCCAGTTCCTATCCTCTGGCCCAGTGGCACAATTATTTTCACAGAATGACTTAAAACTGGTTAAAATAATTACATACATATTTAAAAGGCCAAGGTGTTTCTATGTTGAATTGAGACCACATTCTCAAGTTTAAAAGAGAAGATAGGAATTACCCATTAGCTAATAAATTGTCAGTTGTGAATTTTGATGACTCTTCGGTTAGGCCCTGAATAATTTTTCCCCACATCGTCCTTTGTCAAAGTTATTACATAAAAGTAAGTGAGAGCATTCTGATTCTGATCGTGAGATTGGCCCTTCTTTGGCGTTCCCAAAGCTGCCATTGCAGGGCCGTCACACTGTGGGAGTGTTGGGTAGAGTGTAAAGGTGGGTGCTGAAAGGTGTCTTTAAAGAACGGTCTCCTCCTACCTAGGGGCAGAGTCCCATTTGGCCTCTCCTTGGCCACATAATAATTTAGTCATTTCTGAGTTAGTGGAGCGTCTGCTGTGTACAGCTTTTCTACTTGGATTGAGAGATACAGAATGAACAAGAGCTGCCCCCCTCTGGTAGTTCACTGTCGTCTTTGGGAGAATAACTGAGTGATAATCAGGAGAAGGAGGTGACTGGTACCTACAAAACGCAACAGCATGAGATGTGTCTGAAGGAATTGGCAACCTTCTTTCAAAAAATTATATTTTTATCGATTTTAAGAGAGGAAGGGCGAGGGACAAAGTGAGAAGCATCAATGATGAGAGAAAATCATTGATTGGCTGCCTCCTGCACGCCCCCCCCAATGGGGATCGAGCCCGCAACCCGGGCCTGTGCCCTTGACCGGAATTGAACCTGAGACCCTTCATTTCGTAAGATGACTCTGTCCATGAGCCAAACCAGCTAGGGTGGAATTGGCGACCTTTTTCAGATACGGTAATGCGTAGGTAGTAGAGATTAATATTTTAGGTTTTGCAGGCCATACAGTCTCCGTCGCTTCTCAGTCTGCCAGTGCACATAAAGGCAGCCGTAGACATAAGCAGATTGTGTTCTAGTAAAACTTTTTACAAACAGGCAGCAGCAGATTTCTCCACAGCCCATGTAATCTTCTACTTCTCCCGTCCTAAAGCTACCTGATCTATTTGACCTCACTGCTTTCTCTTCCAGCTGAAGTTCCCCGCCCGGCCAAAGGTGCGGGTTCCCACCATCCCCATCACCAAGCCCCACACCATGAAGCCCGCTCCCCGGCTCACCCCGGTGCGGCCGGCCGCGGCCTCCCCCATCGTGTCCGGAGCCCGGCGGAGACGAGTGCGATGCCGGAAGTGCAAAGCCTGTGTGCAGGGAGAATGTGGCGTATGCCACTACTGCAGGGACATGAAGAAGTTCGGAGGGCCCGGCCGCATGAAGCAGTCCTGTGTCCTCCGGCAGTGCTTGGCAGTGAGTGACCTACTGGGTAAAGAATTTGGGGGAGGGGTGGTGGTGCCAAAGGGACTGAAATACGTTTGATATAAAGTTATTGAGACTTGAGAGTTGGAAAGAAAAAGTTACTCTCTCTTTAGCTTTCTTCCTGTTGGCCCTTTTCTCTCTGGGCTGTGAAGGAACATCCAGTACTAAAACTTAGCTAGTACTAACTCTTTCAGCCATATCTGGTTTTCAAAGGAGAAACCAGCATTTGAAGGGCAAATCACTGCTATCTGTCCCCTCCCTCTGTAAGTGGATTGGGAAGAAAGGACCCCAAGACCGGGCCGGCTCACTGAAAATAAACTGATCTCCCCAGCTCCCACCTCCAGCCCCCGCCCCCTCTTCTTCCTCAGCCATTCTCTCCCTGGTCTCCTGTTCCCTCCGCGTTTACTATAGAGTCACAGGAACCAAATCGCCCATCTCAATTAAAGGGAAGCTGAAATGATAAGGATCTAAGTCTGCTCTTTTCTTGGTTTCTATCTTTGTCCTCTTGTAGCCCAGACTGCCTCACTCAGTCACATGCTCCCTCTGTGGAGAAGTGGATCAGAATGAGGAGACACAGGACTTTGAAAAGAAACTCATGGAATGCTGTATCTGCAATGAGATTGTTCATCCTGGCTGCCTCCAGGTGAGACCCTGAGGGGCTCCTGGGGTCTCAGCTGATAGAAACAATGGAGCAGAGGAAACTGGATTGTATGTCACAAGAAACTGCCTGCATCCATATTGTGGGCCATCAGCTGTGGGTCCTGTAGTGATGTCACATCTACCCTGATCCAAATGTGTCTGCTGTGTGTCGGACACGGTGCTAGGCCTTGTACACAAAAAAGTCCAGGTGTCTGCCCTCAGGGAGCTTACATTCTGGCCTGTGGAGACTGTTTGGAGTCTCCAGGCCATCAGGGAACTTCGAGGTCTGTTTGGGATGTGTCATGGCTGTAAGCATCTTTGTTGCATACTTCATCCTATCACTGGATATTAGTTCCTAAAAAGCAGAGAGAGTCGTAACATTAGCTAATAACATTTAATGAGCGCTCAGTCTGTGTCAGGCTTAGTGCGCACCCGCGGAGCTTTAAAAAAGTAATAAGGAAGTTCAGATCCCAGAGACTGAGTCAGCTCTTCTAGCCCAGACTGGGCTGAGCATTCAAAACCTCCTACATCATCCCGGTGTGCAGCTGAGACGGAGAGCTGCTGGTTTCCAGCCTTCCCTTGTTTAAGCTCTAAGAACTGTGTGAAGCTGGGTCTGCCTGCCTCGTTTCTTTATATTTCTTTAAATCTAAAAGCACTGGTGCTGGTACTTTTTGGTCTTCCCAGAGGTGGCAATTATGTCATGACTGCACCTGGATGACAACGATTATCAAACACTGTTAATTATGAGAAGCAGCCCAATTTCAGAAAGATTCAAATGTGAAAAATACGCATCTTAGAATCGATAAAATAGGATGTTATCTCCACGATAATAATGGTAATTACGGAGCATTTATTACATGCCAGGTATTTATCTAAACACTTTACGTACTGCCTAATGTAATCTTCACCACAACCCTATAAAATGAGTGTTATTTATCCCCACTGCTCACTGAGCCACAGAGCGAGGCCTGTGCCTCTGAACCCAAGCAGGCAGGGCTCTGCCCCGCTGTTAAGATTGGGTCTGGGCCATTCCTGTGTGTTCCGTTTCCTTTGCAAACTGGCATGAGACCCCTGGAGTAATGTGCCAAGAGAAGAGGCCCAGACTCTTAGGGATTTCCTCACAGAGCCTAACTGACCAAGTGACCAAGAGCGAGGTCGCGTTCCCTGTGGTAACGTGAGACTAAATTTTTTCTCTTAGGAGCCAGTGTATTTAGGAATGGGTAACTCTTCAAGGTCCTTCCTAACCACGTGGTGATTAGTATTTAATAAAGGAGGCTTAAGAGTCAGGCTTTTTTAATTTTTTGCTTTTTTATTTTATTTTTATTTATTTTTTTTATTTTTTTTTTTTTTGCTTTTTTATTTTATTCTTTTATTTTTTTGCTTTTTATTTTTTTATTTTTATTTTTTTGTAATGAGACAGATTTTTAACATCCCTGTCTACCTATAGATGGATGGAGAGGGGTTGCTTAACGAGGAATTGCCAAATTGCTGGGAGTGTCCCAAGTGCTACCAGGAGGACAGCTCAGAGAAAGCCCAGGTAAGGGAACTTCATCCAGATTTGCGTTGTGAGAAGAAAGGAAACATCAACTTAGGAGGTGTTTGCCTTTGCAACTTCATTCACATGGTTTTTCTGATCCAGGATATTTTTTATTTTTTTATATTTTTCCCTTTGGTTATTTTTTTTTATTTGAGTTTTTATTTTTAAACATTTTTATTGATTTCAGAGAGAAAGGGAGAAGGAGAGCGAGACAGAAACATCACTGAGAGAGACTCACTGATCAGCTGCCTCGTGCACACCCCACATTGGGGATTGAGCCATGACCTCCTGGTTCATAGGTCGACGCTCAACCACTGAGCCATGCCAGCTGGGCCTTTTTGAGTTTTTAGTGTTTTGGTTTTTGTGTTATTGAATATTGTTCCACTTGGGGTCTGCAAATGGCTGAGGTTCTTATACAATCTGGGGCCCTAGAAAAAGGGGAAGCCCAGCAGGGCTGTTTGAGCAAGGTTGCTGTGGAGGAAACTGTAGCAGAGGTCTGAAGCAGCGGGGAGATACGGTGGTGTGCTGGAGTTTCCAGTTAAGCAGGTTTGCATTTTTGCCATCTTTACCTTTGGGCTCACAGAAAGTCTGCCCATAGGCCCAAATGTGTCCTGCAGAAGCAGCCCCTCCCCCAGAGGAGACCAGGCCCATGACCTTGGCCCTGAGCAGCTGTGGTTGTTGGCCAGTGGTCGCCAGTCATGCCAAAGGGCCGAAGGACTCCGGTTCCCGGGGCTGGCGAGACAAGACCTGAGTGCGGGCAGGTGCAGAGGAGACAGCGGGCCCAGTGTCTGCCGCGGCCCCGGGGCTCTGGTGCACCGGGGAGGAGTGGAGACTGTCCCTGTCTTTCCGTTTCTTCCGCCCTAGGCAGTGCGTTAGTGGAGTTTTCAGTCTAAATACCTTTGAGGACAAAGATTTCTAGAGTTGACTAATCTAGAATTCTCTGTATTTCAAATTCTTATACTAGGAACAGGTTTGATTTGTTTTTGGGGTTTGTTTTTGTTTCTCTTTAATATATATTTTTGTTGGTTGCAGGGAGGAAGGGAGAGTGAGTGATAGAAACATCAATGATGAGAGGGAATCATTGCTAGGCTGCCTCCTGTGGGCCCCACACTGGGGATCAAGGCCACAACCCGGCCTGTGCGCTGACCAGGCACTGAATCATGGCCTGGTTCATAGGTCAGCACTCAGCACTGAGTCACACCGCTGGGCTTGTTCGTTTTTAATTTATTGATGAGGGAGAGAAACACATTGATTTGTTGACCCACTTATGTATGCATTCACTGGTTGATGCTTGTATGTGCCCTGACCGGAGATCAAACCCGCAACCTTAGCGCCTCGGTACAGTGCTATAACAACTGAGCTACCAGGCCAGGGCGAGGAGCCAGTTTTTATACCAGCAGATTCTCCATTTGCCTCACTGGTAGTGGTGGGCATTACTTCTCTGTTGTAGCAGATGGGTTGCCAGGTACTATATTTTAGTCTCACCTTCTGATGTTCGGTAAAAGCCAATACCCAAAAGGTGGGTATTCTCTTCCAATAGTGCACTAAAAATATGATAAAAAGGAGGAGGATTATTGCTTAGGGTCAGAAAATGTCTTCTCCTTCACAAAAATCAGCTACTGCTCGGAAACCTAGTGAAGCATGTTAATTAGGCTTTATCGCAGCACAGCCCCGGCGGGCTCCGGAAAGGGCCAGAGGCTGGAGAGACCAGCGGCAGGGGACGAGTTTGTGTTCCTTCATGAAAGGTGGTCTTCACCCAGCCTGATCCCTCCTCCCCGTCCAGAGCAGGCTCCTCCCCGAGTCCTCGCTCTCCGCTGGTCTCCCATCTGCCCTGGTCTCCGGGGACAGGGTGGTGCCGAGTGGCAGCAGCAGCCGGTAGAGGCGCTCAGACACGGTGGAGCTGAAGGCCCGCTGTGTTGGCCGCGCTCAGGTTTTGCATCCTAGTGCACACGGTGAATGGAGGCCTCTTTTCTTTCACCACCAGCATCTCCTCTGCCAGAGCATCTCTTGGTGCTTCTCTCCGCAGAAAAGCAGTGAGCTGTCTTGTCTCTAGTCCGCTGGCAGAGCAGGGAGGCACTGACGTGGCTTTTCTGGGCCTGTTTTACAGAAGCGGAAGATGGAAGAGAGCGACGAGGACGCTGTGCAAGCCAAAGTCCTGCGGCCCCTGCGGAGCTGTGACGAGCCCCTCACCCCCCCGCCTCACTCCCCCACTGCCATGCTCCAGCTCATCCACGACCCGGTCTCCCCCCGGGGCATGGTGACGCGCTCCTCCCCTGGGGCCGGCCCCAGCGACCACCACAGTGCCAGCCGCGATGAGCGCTTCAAACGGCGGCAGCTGCTGCGGCTACAGGCCACAGAGCGCTCCATGGTACGGGAAAAGGAGAACAACCCCAGCGGCAAAAAGGAGCTGTCTGAAGTTGAGAAAGCCAAGATCCGGGGATCGTACCTCACTGTCACGCTGCAGAGGCCCACCAAAGAGCTCCACGGGACCTCCATTGTGCCCAAGCTGCAGGCCGTCACGGCCTCCTCCGCCAACCTCCGCCACTCCCCCCGCGTGCTGGTGCAGCACTGCCCAGCCCGGCCGCCCCAGCGCGGGGACGAGGAGGGGCTGGGGGGAGAGGAAGAGGAGGAGGAGGAGGAGGAGGAAGAGGACAGTGCAGAGGAGGGGGGTGCGGCCAGGCTGAATGGCCGGGGCAGTTGGGCTCAGGATGGAGACGAAAGCTGGATGCAGCGGGAGGTCTGGATGTCTGTCTTCCGCTACCTCAGCCGCAGAGAACTTTGTGAATGTATGCGAGTGTGCAAGACGTGGTATAAATGGTGAGCGGGGATCCAGGGGTCAGGACGAGGGGCATGGGAGCAGGTGGCAGGTTTTCCAACGAGACAAGCATGTGATCTGGCATCTGGAGGCTTGTCGGGACCTAAAAGATGGAATCAACCTATTCTGTTCCTCAGACTGGGCACTTGTGTCCATGAGGGAGATTTGGCCCTTTGCCTCCTCTCCCGTATTCGTACTTTTCCGTCTCTTACTGGGCACAGGAAACTGTTTTGGGGGGTGGATCTGTAGTTTGTGTGCAAACTTCAGTCATAAGTTTCCGCAAGTCCGTGAAACTCGTCCCTTGTTTGTTGAGAGCCTGTGGCGTGCCAGTCACTCTCCTGTCCTGGAGACATGGCGCCAGTGCCTGCCTGCTCAGTCACCTCTGAGGGGAGGAGTGAGCATGCTTTTCCAAAAGTTGGAAGGTGCTCACAGTTTTCTAGTTTTAATTCTTGTTCCCAAAATCTGGACCAGAATTGCTTTCTCCAACAAGCAAGGTCCAGTTTTTAAGCTTCCTGAGACTTAGTTGTCCTTAATGAGGCCAACAGTTTCTTCTCAAGTTAAACATTAAGACTGGGGTGTGGGGAGGAGGGGCCTAGTGATGATGAACAAGGATTTTCCTAGGACACTGGTTTTCCTCAAGCTTCTGAGCCCTAGGACATGCCCTTGCTGACTGGGTAGTTCTCAGAGATGATGCCCAAACCAGTGGCATCACCTGGGACCTTGTTAGAAATGCAGGTTCTCAGGGCCCACCTGACAGAACCCCCGAGGGCAGGGCCGGTCAGTCTGTCCTTAAGTCCTCCCGGAGTTCTGATACACATTCAAGTCTGAGATCCACGCTTTAGGTAAGCTGCTTGTTTCTGCCAGAAAGGTTTCATGTGCCGTTGGTAAAGGTCTTTTCGGTCTCAGCATGAAGACCCCATTTTTCACAAACACGAGCTCTCAAGTCTGAAGGTGTGAGCTGCGCAGACTCTCCTCATGCTTCTCTTTGTAGGGCTAGCGGGCCGCCTGGGTCTCCGGCCGGAGCACGTAAGATCCCCGTTAGGTGCCTCTCCCTCCTGCTGTCCGCTGGCCCCAGCCAGGCTGCAGAACAGGCGCTGTAAAGCAGTAAATAGAAGCTGATGTGGCAGCAGGATTTGTGGCCTGTGGGCTTGGAGAGGCAGTCCCCTCTCCATTCTGGTCTGCGCTGCCTGGAATGTGGAGAGAACACAGGCCGAAACCCGGGTGGGAAAGAGCGCTCCAGAGCCGCCTGGCTCCATACAATATGGACGCTTTTCAGAGCTGGAGGCAGGATGGCCTGGATCTACTGCGTCTCCACGCAGGTGGGAGTGACTGACAAGGGAAAGAAGATAGTCGCTCCTAGCTTTTGGCAGTAAGAAGTCAAGAAATTTTTTTAATACTCCCTTTAATGCACTTTGGTAGGAGCCATACCATTTTAATGCAAGTGAGGGCTTACTGTTTGCTGTGTTCTCAGCCCATTCAGAGCAGACAAGGTGAACTGGTCAGGTTGTCCATCATTTAATCTCCGTAGGGCTGCCATAGCGGACACGCCCTGCTCTCACGGAGGAAGTGCAGCAGGCATGAGCTTGTAAGCTTGCAGAGGAGCCTGCAGAGGCTCTCTCTTCCCAGAGCCTCCAGCAGGATACTGAGTTCCTGACAGCTCTCCTCCTTCCTTCTGCCGCAGGTGCTGTGACAAGAGACTTTGGACAAAAATTGACTTGAGTAGGTGTAAGGCCATTGTACCCCAGGCTCTCAGCGGCATCATCAAGAGGCAGCCAGTGAGCCTGGACCTCAGTTGGACCAACATCTCCAAAAAACAGCTGACATGGCTCGTCAACAGGCTGCCAGGTGAGCAGCCCTGCCACTGCCTCCCAGGCCCAGCGGTGGGGGAGAGCCGCTTTGTTGGCAGCAGTGTTTCAGGCAGCAGGCCGTGCCACAGTTGCCTTTCTGCAGGGTCACCTTAACTGCTGGTTCCCAGGTGTACTCTGGACTGGCAGACCAGTCACTGCACTGGACAGGGAAAAGAATGGTCAGGTGCTGCCGTCAGTGCTGCGGCTCTCCTCACGTGGCTTTTTTGAGTAAGATGTGCTTTGGCAGCTCCTTGTAAGGACCCGTTCCTTTCAGCATTTAGAAAGACAGGAGATCACATTTGCATTGCTCTTGTAGGAGCTAAGGAATTGGTTTTACCACCAAAGCTAGAAGATGTGATATAGGAGAGTGCTCATAGGAATCTTTGAGCTGGGTTATTGGAATAAGATAAGGACATAGTCTCTCTCTCCCGTTATGGGAATCCATTTACCTTAGTCAGTTCAGCTGCTAGGCAGGCTGTGGATGTGCCGAGAGAGTATATTTTATTGCACGTGCATTTTTCACCCGTGCAGGACTGAAAGACCTTCTCCTGGCCGGCTGTTCCTGGTCGGCAGTCTCCGCCCTCAGCACCTCCAGCTGCCCCCTCCTCAGGACCCTTGATCTTCGGTGGGCAGTGGGAATCAAGGACCCGCAGATACGGGACTTGCTGACTCCGCCTGCCGATAAACCAGGTATGCTCTGTGCCTGACTTCTCTGTGCTAGTCTTTCAACAGACTTTGTATGTAGCTTTATCTTTCCGTGTACTTCATCTTCCAAAGTAAAGTCTCAGAAATGATGCTGTGCAGACTGAGAACAGCATAAAGCCTAAGGAAGTCTGGGAAAGCTCCCTGGTGGAGGTGGGTCATTAAGAACTGTTTGCATGAGATGATCTAGAAAAGTATGGGAGTGTGGGAAAGGTGGGGGCATACTGCACATGCTCTTCTGATGTGTGGGGCTTATTCCAGCAGCTGGGAAGAAAGAAAACGGGCCTGGTTTCCTAGAAACTGCCCACACACACACACACACACACACTGCTCTTGGAAGGCAGGGCGGTGTGGGCAGTGCTTATTCCCTCCGAGGGGACCTGGCCTGAAAAGGTCGTGTCGGTTGGGCTGGAATAGAGGTGAGGAGTTTTGGTCTAGGCTCTTCTCGCTCTCACAGGTCAGGACAATCGCAGCAAGCTCCGGAACATGACTGACTTCCGGCTGGCAGGCCTTGACATCACCGATGCCACGCTTCGCCTCATTATTCGCCACATGCCCCTCCTGTCTCGACTCGACCTCAGTCACTGCAGCCACCTGACAGATCAGTCCTCCAATCTGCTCACTGCTGTCGGGTCTTCCACGCGTTACTCCCTCACCGAGCTCAATATGGCAGGTACGCTGCCGCGGTTCCCAGCGAACCACCCCTGCCGCCTGGAAGTCCTGGGCCTTCCTGGAGCTTGGCCAGGAGAACTGATGGCTAAACTGGGATAACTTGTGTGAACTTGTTTTCTCTCAAACGGACGGAGATGGATTTCTATCCCTTTTCTAACTGATGGTGGCCAATCCCTAGAGTGATTGTCAGGTGCCTAAGCGCACAGCCACCGCCCAGTGCAGTCGGGTCACCTTCAAGTGCAGGAAGTGAGGGCAGGGGCTTTCAGAGGCCACTGGGACTTAGGAGACAGAGGGCTCTGGTTTAGCATTCTGAAGGGAAGAGCCGGGGATGGGCCACAGAGCAGGCTCCTGTGCCGTGTGTACATAGAGTTGTCCTTACGGTCACTTTCCCCACAGGTTGCAATAAATTGACAGACCAGACCCTGATCTACCTACGGCGCATCGCCAACGTCACCTTGATCGACCTTCGAGGATGCAAGCAGATCACTCGAAAAGCCTGCGAGCACTTCATCTCAGACTTGTCCATCAACAGTCTCTACTGCCTGTCTGACGAGAAGCTGATACAGAAGATCAGTTAAGACACAGCTGGCCCAGACTGAACAGGAAACCGATCTTCCCTGACTCCCTCGCCGGGAGAGCTCTCCCTGACCCTGCACAGGCTCCGAGGCCAGCGTCACACTCCCTCTGCTTTCCTGTCCTGTGAGCCCTCCCCCAAGAGGCGGGCAGAGAGGTGGACACGGGGCTTACCCGCCGCTCCCTCCCTCCTGAGGAAACGGAGGAGCGAACGGAGCGAAGGGGAAGATCGGCCAGGTGCTGCCGGGTGCCAGCTCACCTGCACACGTGCCGCCAGCTGCCAGGAGGCCAAGCTCTCAGTTGGGTCGTCTGTGCAACTCTCATCTGGGCTAGGCCCTGGGCCTCCTCCCGTCCGTGGTCCCCAGCAGGGCCTGGTTCCGAGCAGACTCCCAGGGAGGAAAGCAGCCCTGTCTCCGCGGCCAGGCTCTCCTCTGGTGCCCAGTATCTCTCCTCCGTCACACTCTCCCGGCTTACATAGGAGGGGCCCGGAGCCCCAGGAATGCCAGACCATGCAGGTCACACTGGTGCTGTTGAGGTGTCTAAGACCTCATCTGTGTCTGTCCTCCCTCTTCTCCAGTTAGCTTGATGTCCTGTCTGACGCACCACGTCCGCTCACGTAATGAGGCTACCCACCCTAGACTCCCCGCCAGTCTCTGTGAGTCCTGAGGTCCTTGTTGCACTTATTGGGGTTGAGGCTCTTCAGAGGAGCTGGAACTGTATCCCAGGGACACCCCCATTTTATTGCTTCTAAGCAGGTTCTGAGAGGCACCATCTCCTTGTTCCTGCCTGAAGAGGGCTTGCCCAGGATGGGGTCCTCAGAGGGAGCGGCCTGCCTGCCCCGCTGGGGGAGCAGAGATCTGGGCCAGGTTCCCACCTGCCTCCCAGCAGGCACCAGGCTCTAGTGTCCTGTAATCCCTGGAGCCCAGGCCTGTGTCTGTCCCAGTAGCTCACTGATCTGGCACCACTGGGAGGAGGGGGAGCTCCTGCTGAGAAGCCAGTCACCTGCCCTCTGCCTGCGGCCCTGGAAGGGGGTGTGCATGTGCCTCTGTGTGTGTGGCTGAGTGTGTTACTCGTGTGTGTGGGAGGGAGGAGGGAGCATGGTGTCTCCTACTTTACCTCCCAGTGTCAAGCCCCATCAGCTGCCCCTTTCTTTGCATTGAACGGCCTGTCCAAAGATCCTCTCTCTAGGGCAGCAGAGAGCTTTTTGCACTTTAAAAAAAAAAAAAAGAAAGGTCGGAATTTCTTTTGGGTCAGTGTTGAAACGTGTAAGGAGATGCTCAATAGCAGCAGCCTGTGGCAAGAGCTGACAAGTGATAGATGCGGATTTGCACTCTGCTCTCCCTCCAGGACAGTGATAGCACAACCTTGCCCGCCTCATCCTCATCCTCGGCCCCATCCCTTCCCGTCCCCTTTCTGCATCCCAGTCTCAGGCTCTTCTGAAACTCTAGGGGGAGGGCAAGGAGCCCAGGCACGGTGAGGAGAGACGCCCACTGCACGCTGCCACTTCCAAAGCAATAGAGGCAGAGGGCCCCTCTTTGCCACCGGGCCCAGCTTTGACCCTGGCATCGACTGGCCCAAGAGAAAACCGGGTCCTGGCAGGAGGGGAGAGCATGGTGTATATCTTCCAATCTGCTGATTCTCTCGGCTGCACCTTAAAAACAGCAGTCTGCTCCATGGCCCTCTGCCCCTCCCCTCGGTCTCCAGGCCCAGGGACCTGGGGGAAACTTGGAGGAAACGCCAGTGACTTATTCCAGAGTGCCTCAGTTAGGGGAGCTTCTCTGTAAAGAACCCTGGGTATTGAGCAAAAACCTTATAACATTGTTAATCTATAATTGGAAGCTTCCTGCCTTTTTTGGTTGCTCCTGTGGAAAATACTAAAAAGATGGTTTCGTGTCTTTTTATAAAAGGGGAGGTGGAGAGACCCCTTCAGCGCAGGGATTGTGCCGGGAGAGTGCCTCTGACTTTGGGACATTTCATCCACAGAAATTTCCAAGCTGGTGGTTTGTTTTGGGTTTTGGTTTGTATTTTTGTTCGTTTTGGGTTTGGAAAAATAAGCATTTTTACCGTGCACGGAATTGGTCAACGGAAAAGGAACCCAGGAGCGGCAGCAGATGGACCTCCGCCCTTGCTGGGGTTTCCTTTCCTCAGACTGAGGGGGAATGGTTTCCGAGGTGAGGGATGGTCCACGTGGAGGAAAGAAGTGTTTCTGTTGGGGACAGAGGAACCGGGAGTTCCATCGCATTTCCTGCAATCTGCTCTCAGCATCTGCCTTGCCAGGAGAGCCTGCCCTCAGACCACGGGACCACACACCCTGCCTCCGTCTTTCCAAGCACCGGGGCGAAAAACCACAAAGGAAAGGAAGAAAATTTATATATATATAAATATATATATAATATAAAATCACTTGGTGATTAAAAAAATAACTGCTCCATAAATAAAACTCCTAAAGTCACTATGTTTAAAGGGTTTGGTTGTGTTTTTTGTTTTTTTCGGAGAAATATTGTAAATATATATTTTTTGTTGCTGATTTAGTCTGTCTCCAATGTTGTGCTAAAAATTTAAATTAAATGTAAGCATTAAGGGGACAAGTCATGCTATATCTCAGTTGACACATAGGGTTATTTCGGGCCAGGGAAAGAGGGAAGCTAGTTGACTTTTGTTTTCTAAACGTTCTCCACTATTGGTTTTAGAGAAAGCAAGGACATCTTTCTTCTGACACGGGAATGGGAGATATTTGTGTAATAAAAATTAAAAAAAAAAAAATAGCTTCCAATGGGAAAATTTGATTTTTTTTTTTTTTTTTATAATAAAAGGCTTTAAAAACAACAACAAAACAAAACCTTTCCTGCCTTAGTGTGTGTGAGTGCATGCGAGAATGAGAAAGTTTTCATAAAGGCCAAGGGTTGCCTGCTTCACTCCTCTGGACAGAGCCGCTTCTAAAACACATTTCATAGAACTTCTTAACGGATGTGGAAACTTCAGTATGAGGATACCTGTTCCCCTACATGCGCGCACACCCCACCATGGCATTGCCTAGAGTGGTTCTGTACAGGCATGGCGGAGAGCTACCCCCGTGGTGCTTACCTGAGACGGGACCCTGGGATTTCTAATCTTGGCATCTCAGGAGAGCTGCCTGCCAAGGCCAGCCTACAGCCACTGCTGCAGAGCCAGCCCCTCAAGGACAGTGCCCACTGCAGGTCACTGAACAAGGTCTGGGCCAGACTGGTTCCGGCAGCATTTGTCCACCACACCCCACTGCTGCTCCCTCGGCTTGCTGGGAACAAGCTTCCAGCCTTTACACAAGCTAGCTGTTGCCAGTGACCACCCCTGCATCCTTGGTGGCAGCATCTCAGCAGAGCCAGGGTCCCACCGGGAGTCCTGAGGAGGCTCTCCCACCACCTCACAGAGCTGGGGAGCTGCCCACCTGCTCCCCAAGCTGATGGTGAGGACCACCTCCAGCTCTGCACATTCTAGTCCAGGATGAGGTCTCGCAGGATGGGCTGCTTCATGGTTTCCTGAGGACGGGACAGGGGCGTGGCCATGTTTGGCCAGGAACGGAAGTGTGTCAGGTTGGCCTAAATATCAGAAACCACCTGTCTCCGTCACCTCATCCCTGCCACCATTGAAGCCACCGTTGTTCAGAACCCTGAGGCCTCCCAGCCTTGGTCCAGCTGTATTGGCAGCCAGAACATTTCTCTCAAAAGATACATTTGAGCCCTAGCTGGTTTGGCTCTGTGAACAGAGCGCAGGCCAGCTGACTGAAGGGTCCTGGGTTCAATTCTGGTATGGTTACAGGTTCCTTCCTGGCCCAGGCCCTAGTCAGGATGTGTGCAGGAGGCAACCAATTGATGTTTCTCTCTCATCAATATTTCTGTCTTGCCCTCTCCCTTCCACTCTTTAAAAATCAATGAAAAATATCCTTGGGTAAGGATTAAAATTATACACACACACATACACTAGAGGCCTGGTGCACAAAATCCGTGCACGGGTAGGGTCCTTGGCCTGGCCAGCAATCAGGGCCTTCCTCCTGCTGCCAGCTGCTGGCCGGGGCCTGCCTGCCTTCTGCACCACCCCCTGGTGGGCAGCGCACATCACAGTGAGCGGTAGAACTCCCAGTCAGTTGAACTCCCAAGGGGACAATTTGCCTTTTATTCTATAGGATATATTTGACCACCCTGCTTAAAACCCATTAAATATGTCTCGGAATCAAGTCCTCAAGCTTCTTATCCTTTGCCCCTTTTACTCCTCTCCACCCTTAGCAAACTTTTTCCAATCCTACCGTCTCTGAGTCTTTATACATGCTGTTCCCCCTGCTGGTACACCTTCCTCTGTTTACATGTCCCTTCCTCCAGGAAGCCATCTCCCTACTCAAGACCAGATCACAAGTCCCCATGGTACCCTACTGCTTACCAGGGCTCCCATAAGTCGGTCTCCACGCTGGCCAGAAGCTCCACCAGGACACAGAGCAGTCTGTGTTGCTCACCATGTCACATCCCAGTAGCTGGTGCAGAGCTTGGCACATAACTGATGTGGCGTGAATGTCCCCAGTAGCTCATAAACCGGGAGGCCCAGCCCTCCCTGATACGGCCAATCTGTTGCCATGTTCTCCAAGTTCACTTTCCCACTACCTCATACATGCTCTCCTTTCTTGTGCCAATACTACCAGCCCAGCCTCTTTCTTTGGCAGGGAGGGGTAGTTCCGAGCTAACCTCAATTCAGCTTTGCATTCATCTTCCTACGGCACACAGAAATGTCCAGTCCCCCTCCAGGGTCATGTCTGAACGGAATAAACTCATCCTGCCACGGACTTCTCTGAAATGGGAAGCACCATAGCTGACACGTGGCAGGTGTGTGCTTCTGTCTCAGACACTGGCACCTCTGTGGTCCCCAGGCTTGCTGTGTTTGGGATGTGGTATGCCACCCTCACCACAGCTCTGAAAATCTCCTTCAAATCCCTCCGAGTGCCCTTCTGAGCATCCAGGCTGGGCCTGTGCCCACGCCCTTCTCCCATGGCTCTTCAAAGTCCTTAAGGGTGGGGCCGACCTCAGCTACCTCTGCCTCCCCTTCACCTGTCCCTGAAGTGGGGGGTGAGGAAATGCAGCGGTGGCTGTACCGGAGGGGGACCAGCAGGGCCAGCTTCATGGGTGAGGGACCCCTGCAGTCACAGAGGGCCCTGTGCTCAGAAGGACCTCACACTTGGTTGAATGCTCTGCTGCCACCATCTTGAAAGTCTTAATTTTTTAACAAAGGGCCCCACGGTCCACTTGCAGTGGGCCCTGCCAATGGTATAGCCAGTCCTGGGCGGAGGGACGACCCAGCTCTCCCCTGTCCTCCCAGGCCAGCTCAGTGCTAAGTGTCATTGGGTGGCCAGCCGCAGAGCTTACCTGCACTTCCCAGCTGGGGAGACCTGTCCTACCAGCACCTTCCCAGGGCCCAGGCCCAGAAGGGAACAGCGCTGGACACCTGTGCGTGGGCAGGAAACTTGAAGAGGAGGCACCTGGTTTGCCCTAAGCCTAGTGCTGTCACCCAGCTTCTGCCTCCCCACCAGCCCCATTCCAGAGGGAGCTGGGGAGGCGGGGGGCGGAGGGGGAAGGAGAGGGGGAGACAGAAAGGTCCCACCGCTATCCCCCGCCCTCCCCGGAGTGTGACATGGGAGTGCTAGAAAGGTGAGACAGGGACGGACAGAGACAGAGACAGAGAAAACACCCTGAAAACCCCAGAAAAGGAAAGACAGGAAAAGAAGTAGAGAAAGGGGTTGGGGAGAAGATAAGTGACAGGAGAGAGAAGAGACCATGGAAGATGCGGAGAGGGAGATACAAGTGAGGCCCAGATGATCCACGCCTGACCGGCCACAAGGAAAACCGCCTCCCCAGCCCGGCACTAAGCACGCAGGTCCCACCATCCTGGAAGCGATGCAGTGAGGCCGGCGGGAGGCTCCCCGCAAAGAGACGAGAAAGGCCAGGCCCAGAGAGGTTAAGTGACTTGCCCGGGGGGAAACCAGTCGGGGCAACAGAGGTGGCACTAGCATTTGACACCTAAGTCCCGGTCCCCGCGCAAGCACCAGTGGCCACGGTGATCGCGCCTCGGACGCTCAGGCCGGAGGTCAGGACAGAAGCCGGTGCGGCGGGAGCACCTTAGGTCCCCGCTCCCGGCAGAGCCCGGCGGAAAGGACGCCTGCGCGCTGGAGACGGCTCCGGGCGGGCGCCGGGGCGGGGCGCTGCCGAGGCCGGAATCCGAGGGAGGCCGCGGCCAGGGGCGGGGCTAGGCCAGAGGGTTAGGCCAGGGGCGGGGCTTGGGTCGGGGCGGGGGCATGTCAAGGGCGGGGCTTGTGCCGGGGGCGGGGACTATTCTAAGGGCGGGGCTAGGCCAGGGGCGGGGACTGGGCCAGGGCGAGGCTAAACCAAGGGAGAGGTGGGGCTAGTAAAGGAGGGGCGGGGCTAGGCCGGGGCGGGGCTAGGCCGGGGCGGGGCTAGGCCAGGGGCGGGGCTAGGCCAGGGGCGGGGGCTATTCTAGGGGCGCGGCTAGGCCAGGGGCGGGGCCTGGGCCAGGGGCGGGGCCTGGGCCAGGGGCGGGGCCTGGCCAGCTTGGGGAGCCGGCCGCGGCTGCGGCGAGCGGGCTGCAGGTTGGGGCCAGGTCCCGGCTGAGGTTCCGAGGCGGGAAAGGCGATGGTCCTGGGCAGCGCGGGGACGGTGTGACCTTCCGGAGGGTTCCAGGAAGCGGTGCTGGTCCCGGGAAGCAGGCTGGGCGGTGCCCGCGGGATTCACCCCGGAAGGTGACTGGACCGTGTGGGAGGGAGCCTCCGAGATAAGCAGCCTCCGCACTTGCTGCTCCACAGGCCTGGGCCGCTCTTCCCCGCCCCGGGCCTGAGGCTCCGGCTAAAAACAAGGGCCGGTCCTCAGAGGCCCCCTGACTCTCCTGGAGGAGGCGCGGGGCTCTTACAGTGACTTCCCACCTGCCTCCGGAGGATGCTTTCAGTGCAAAATGAGACCACAGGGCTAGGAACAGTGCCTGCCCCTAGTGAGAACCCAGAAACGCAGTGGTTGTTGCTATGTGTGCTTTGCCCATACGTTCACGGTCTCTCCTGGTTACTGCGCCCACGTTGGTTGGATCCTCAAGGCCAAGCACCAGTGCCTGCCACGCAGCAAAAGCTCAACAAATCCTGTCAGATGTGTGAGGGAGTGGGCGAAGTGAAGTTCTGGAATCCAGCAGACCCTGGCACTGTCTGGCTCCCCGGCATCACAGAGTGGCTGGCTGTGTCGGGCAGGGATTCTCCCATCACCTGTGCATCCCCGGGGAGGTCAGGGAGCTCCCAAACCCGTCCTCCCAGATCCTCAAGGCCCAGGATGGAGACGCAGAGGTGCCCTCCTGGGCCTGGCACACGCCAGTCCTCACCCCAGCCTCCTTCACACTGTGTACACGGAGTGAAGTTCAGGACTCTCCCGCTCCTCCCTTGTCCTGCCCAACCTTCCCGTGACCCTCCTGACCATCTGCCTCCTCGAATGAGCGCTCCTGTCACATTGATTGAAGTTTGCGCTTAGGCCCGTGGTCGGCAAACTGCGGCCCACAAGCCACGGTTTGCCACTCTGTTGACTGAGTTTGCCGACCACTGTCTATTACCCTTTACCTCTTTGCACACAGTATGCCACAACTGCCTCATCCTCACAGCTCCCAACTACGGTAACATTTAGTCTCGTCCAGCAGTCGGCAAACTCATTAGTCAACAGAGCCACACACGGCGGCTCGCGAGCCGCGGTCTGCCAACCACTGGCTCAGGCGGTCTTCTTTCCCACCGGACGGGGCCCCGCGGGGGCCTTTTCCTCTCTGTGGCTCCCTCCCGCTTTGTGCTGTGAGCAGCGACCACAGCAAACAGGCACCAAGGAGAGCCTTCCGCCCGGGAGATGCAGCGAACAGGCGCCCGCTGCCAGAAAGCAGGCAGGGCGCGGCAGGCCGGACTCCGGGGTGGAAATAAACTCGGTTTGTTGTAGGGACCGAGGAAGACCGGAGAGGCTGGAGACTAGAGGATGGGGGAAGGAGGAGAGAGCTGGATGAAAGAAGTGGGCCAGGCCGAAACCGGTGTGGCTCAGTGGATAGAGCGTCGGCCTTCAGACTGAGAGGTCCCAGGTTCGATTCCGGTCAAGGGCATGTACCTTGGTTGCGGGCACATCCCCAGTGGGGGGTGTGCAAGAGGCAGCTGATTGATGATTCTCTCTCATCGATGTTTCTGACTCTCTATCCCTCTCTCTTAAAAAAAAAAAAAAAAAAAAAAAAGAGGTGGGCGAGGGCCAGAACGTGCAGGCCTTACAGACCACGGGAAAGGGTACGTTTTATCCCCGGGGCAGGGGCTGGCACTGGAGGTGGGGTGTGGCTTAGGCTGTAAAGACTGGCTAGATGAGAGGCAGGGAGCCCACGGAGAGCTGGCACAGCACCAGCTGGGAGGTGGTGGGACTCGGACAGAGACTAGCAGGGCCCAGAGAAGCATCATTCCGGGTGCGATCTGGATGATAGCGTGTGTATGTGTGTGTGTGGGTGGGGGAGGCAGTGATGGAAGAAAGGAATCCAGGGTGACGCCTGAGTTTCTGGAAGATGGAGGAGCCACGACTGAAATGGGGAGGCGGGCGAGGAGCCGGTTGGACAGGGGCTCCTGGTGGGAGCAAGCGCTCCGTGTGGGACGCTGTAGGTTGCGATACCTATTAGTCATCCAGGGAGATGCCAAGTAGTGATGTGTCTGCGGGCCTGCCAGCTGGACCGAGGCGGGGCTCCGTTCCTCTTTCACTATCGCTCTCCCGGCCGCAGGCTGGCAGCCCGAGCCCAGGACAAAGGTTTGTTGAGGGAAGCCATGACCCAAGCCAACCCGAAAGGCAAGTTGACAATCGACCTTCCCTCGACCACCAGAGGGCAGCACCATCCAAAACACAGCCTCCCCCAGATGGGCAATGGGCACTGCCTCCCGAAGCCAAGGACTCCCACCGGCCCTCCCACCGTCCAGGGCCTGGGCGCCAGTGGGAGCGCTCTGGAGCCGGGCTCTCCGTAGGACCCTGGCGTAGGCCTGCGGGGGCAGCAGACTGAGCTGTGGGTGGGGGGCAGTCTGGGTTTTCAGGTGGGGGGGCACCACGTGGAGCAGGAGAGTTGGCAGTTGAGAACCCACAGGGACTGTGGTCCGACAGGTTCATCAGGAAGAAACTTCTTTTTTTAAATAGCCACCCGCTGAATTGATTTTAGAGAGAAGTAGGAAAGGGGGGGGGGGGAGAGCAACATTGATGTGAGAAACATCGGTCTGCAGCCTCCTGTATATAGAGAGCTAGAAACATCGATGAGAGAGAAACATCGACCAGCCGCCTCTTGCACGTCCCCCACTGGAGATGTGCCCGCCACCAAGACACATGCCCTTGACCGGAATCGAACCCGGGACCTTTCATTCCACAGACCGACGCTCTATCCACTGAGCCAAACCGGTTTCAGCTATATATATATATTTTATATCAGAGATGAAGGGAGGAAAGAGAAATAGAAACATCAAAACGAGGGAGAATCATTTATGGGCTGTTTCCTACACAGGCATGTGCCCTGACTGGGACCCAACTGTTTCCTCCTGGTTCATAGGTCAACGTTTAATCACTGAGCCACACCGGCCAGATGCAAATGATACAGACATTTAGTAAAGCTTCATACACACTGTAAAAAATGTGACATGAAAAAACAAATAAACAACAAAAAAAGTGACATTATGCATCTTGCAATTGATGATGTTTTCAAATCAAGGAACTGAGTGGGAAGTGCAGAGCTGTGCCGAGCGGGGGCTGGGGAAGGCCACCTGGAGAGGATGGTCTTAAAGGAGGACTCAGCGGGCTTCCGGGCACAGAGGTGAGAGCTGAGGGGCGGAGGAGGGTGGCAGACAGGCTGGAGGGGGCACCGGGCACAGGATCGAAGACCTTGGCCTGCAGGGGAAGGGGCTTGCTGGCCTAGGTGCTTGGGCGGAGGGGCCCCTGTGTGCTAACCAGGCAGTCATGCCATTGGGTCTGGATTCAGAAGAGGCACCTCTGGCCAGAGCCGGCAGCAGGGCAGCAGCGTGAGGATCCTGAGAGGCAGACGAGTTCCGGAAGGTTCTCCAGAGGCCCCAAGGCGGGGGTGGTGCTGGAGCAGATGGGGACAGGGGCGAGGGAGGCGGCGAGCTGATGACCGGAGTCCTGGTTTGGGTATCTGGGTGGATGGTGGTGCTACCCACACAGACGTGACCTTGCCTCGCCGAAACCGGTTTGGCTCAGTGGATAGAGCGTCGGCCTGCAGACTGAAGGGTCCCAGGTTCGATTCCGGTCAAGGGCATGTACCTTGGTTGCAGGCACATCCCCAGGGGGGTGGGGGTGGGGGTGCAAGAGGCAGCTGGTTGATGATTCTCTCTCATTAATGTTTCTAACTCTCTGTCCCTCACTGTAAAAAATCAATAAAAAACATATATATTTTTTAAAAGTGACCTTGCCTCTGACGTGCTCTGATCCAAGGTCTGGGAGGCTGGTCTCAGGAGGCAGCCTTACGTAGGGTCCTGGCTACGGTGCCCAGCCTGGGAAAGGCCTTGTCCTCTTGGAAAGAGGATGACTCCGAAGAGGAACATGTTGAGATAGGGGTGCTGCTTTGACACACATAGATAACCCCCAAAACCCCTTGTGCACTCAGCAGAGGGGTTTCCCCTGCCAGGCAGCCTGACACCCTGGTGCCCCCCCAGGAGGAGAGGATCATGATGATCCCGTCAGGAATCTGCCGTTGGTTGGGGGCAGGCCAGGGGCCTGGGTCTACAGGCTGGGCCAGGGAGGGCCAGGTGGTGCCGTGTCCTTGGCCCAGAAGCCAGGACTGGGTCGGGGCAGGAAGGATGGGGAGGGGAGCGGGATGAGCCTGGCGTCTGACCACAGCGGTCAGGTCCCAGGAGCCTGGCGACCTGTCCCGGTTCTGAGTCCAGTCCGGGCTCTGGTTGGATGTCCTGGTCCTGGGTTTGTGTCCAGCTTTCTTGGTGTTGGGCCTAGGACCCTAGTTTGGTGTTGATGGTCCAAGACCCAGTCTGGGCTCTGCCCCCAAGTTCAAGGTTTAGGGTCATGAGCGTGGTCTGGTTTTGGGGTTGGAATCAGGTTGGGTCAAGCAACCAATGTGAAATGCGATCACGATCCAAAATCTAGCCGCGGGGTCCTGCTGGGGCCGGGTCCGGGGGCAGTCAGGGCGGTGAGGGACCCAGGCTTGTGACCCAAGGTCAAGGTGAGATTCTGAGGTCTGGGTCTGGGTCCGAGGTCCTGGTCTGGCGTCCGCTCGGAGGCTCGAGTCACAGTGTCCTCCAGGTCTGGTGTCAGGCCATGGGCTTTGTCCTCGGGACCGTGTTCTGGTGCCGGTCTGGGCGGGACGCGGTCTGGCCGAGTCCGGGAGCCGCCGGAGGCCGGACTGGGCGCCAGGGTGCGGGTGCGGCGTTCTCCCCGGTCCGCTCCGGGTCCGGGTCCGGGTCCGGGTCCGGGTCCGGGTCCGGGTCCGGGTCCGGGTCGGGGTCCGGGTCCGGGTCCAGGTCCGTGTCGGGGTTCGGGTCAGGCTCCGGGTCGGGGTCGGGGTCCAGGTCCGGGTCCGGGTCGGGGTCCGGTCCGGGTCCGGTCGGGTCCGGGTCCGGGTCGGGGTCCGGTCCGGGTCCGGGTCCGGGTCGGGGTCGGGGTCCGGGTCCGGGTCGGGGTGGGGGTCCGGGTCGGGGTCCGGGTCCGGGTCCGGTCCGGGTGCCGCGCCGCCGCTCGGAGGGCCGGGAGGGTCACGCGGGGCGCGGCCGGCAGGTGGCGCCGGGCGGCGGGCGGCGGGCGGGGCGGCGGCCCTGCGTCCGGGCGGCGGCGGCCATGGGGCGGCGCCGCGTGTGAGCGGCCGCGGAGCCGGGCGCGGAGCCGGGCGCGGGGCGGGCGGGCGGGCGGGCGGGCGCGGGGACGGAGGGCGCCGAGCGGAGGGCGCGGAGCGGAGGCCGCCGCCGCCAAGATGGCGGACCTGGAGGCGGTGCTGGCGGACGTGAGCTACCTGATGGCCATGGAGAAGAGCAAGGCCACGCCGGCCGCGCGCGCCAGCAAGAAGATCCTGCTGCCCGAGCCCAGGTGAGCGGCCGGCCCGGCCCCGGCCCCGAACCCGGCCCCGAACCCGGCCCCGAACCCGGGCCCGAACCCGGAGCCCGGCCCCGGCCCCGAACCCGGCCCCCGGAACCCGGCCCCGGCCCTGAGCCCGGCCCCCGGCCCCGGCCCCGGCCCCGAACCCGGCCCCCGGCCCCGGGCCCGCGCCCCTGAGCCCGGCCCCGCGCCCCTGAGCCCGGCCCCGCGCCCCTGAGCCCGGCCCCGCGCCCCTGAGCCCGGCCCCCGGCCCCGGCCCCGGCCCCGAACCCGGCCCCCGGCCCCGGGCCCGCGCCCCTGAGCCCGGCCCCGCGCCCCTGAGCCCGGCCCCGCGCCCCTGAGCCCGGCCCCGCGCCCCGGAACCCGGGCCCGCGGCCTCCCCGCCCGCGGCTCTGCCTTCTCCCCGGAGCCCGGCCCCCTCCATCCTCCCCCGGCGGCGCCTGGGCCCCTCCGGCCCCTCCTCCGCCTCCGCGGCCGCCTGGCCGCCTGGGACCCGGCCCTCTGCCGCCCACCGGCCCGTCTCCCCGGTCTCCGCCTCCGCTCCCGGCCCTTGTGGTCCCCCTGTCCCCTTAGGGTCACCTCGTCCCCTTAGGATCCCCCCGTCCCCTTAGGGCCCCCTATCCCCTTAGGGCCCCCCTGTCCCCTTAGGGCCCCCCTGTCCCCTTAGGATCCCCCCTGTCCCCTTAGGATCCCCCCTGTCCCCTTAGGGCCCCCCTGTCCCCTTAGGGCCCCCCTGTCCCCTTAGGGCCCCCCTGTCCCCTTAGGGCCCCCCTGTCCCCTTAGGGTCCCTCTGTCCCCTTAGGGCCCCCCCCCATGTGAGGTGTGAGGTCTGGGGGAGGCCGGAGTCTGTCTCCCCGCCGTCCAGGGGTCCCTGTGGGGTCGGGTGGCGGGGAGCAGGGTGTGGTGCGCCCCGTCCCCCTGCCCTCCTCCCCGGGGCCCTGCCACGGCGCACCTGGCACCAAAGTTTGCTGTGGTGAGGGTGGGCACAGAGCACCAGGATGAGGCTTCATGGTTTCTAGAGTGTTTTTGTTTTGTTTTGTTTTCATTGTTTGAGCCCGTGGCCACCCAGGGGCAGGGAGGGCGGGTGTGGTGTTGGCCCCGCGGAACAGGTGGGGAGGCTGAGTGCCCGCCTGGCGTCCCAGGTAATCCAGGGTGGTGCCCGCCACCCGCTCAGGGCTTCCGGCTCCGGTTCCATTTCTCCCACTGGCCGGCCTGGCCGCTCTGGATCTGAGAGAGCTGGTGCCCACGACCGTTCCTCCAGTTACCCAGCAAGGCCGGTCTCAGCACCGCCTCCCTCCTGCCTGGGAGAGGGGGCACGGGGGACTGCCCGCCCCGGAGCCTGGGCCCGTCCTGGCTGCCTGGTGTTGTCCTGTGACTTTGGGCAAGACCGTCTGGCATGGGGGCTCGGTTTTCTCATCTGTGCTGTGTGGACGGTGAGCCGTGTGGACGGTGAGCCGTGGGGACGGTGAGCCGTGGGGACAGTGAGCGTGTGGACGGTGAGCGTGTGGACGGTGAGCCGTGGGGACGGTGAGCCGTGGGGACGGTGAGCGTGTGGACGGTGAGCCGTGGGGACGGTGAGCCGTGGGGACGGTGAGCCGTGGGGACGGTGAGCCGTGGGGACGGTGAGCGTGGGGACGGTGAGCGTGGGGACGGTGAGCCGTGGGGACGGTGAGCCGTGGGGACGGTGAGCTGTGGGGACGGTGAGCGTGTGGACGGTGAGCGTGGGGACGGTGAGCCGTGGGGACGGTGAGCGTGTGGACGGTGAGCCGTGGGGACGGTGAGCAGCAGGTTGTGCCTGCAGTGCCCTGAGCCTGAGAAGCGGGGCCGAGCGCTGCCCGGGGTGCAGGCTGCAGCCCCCGGCGGCCTCCCCAGGGCCCCCTCGCTGAAGGGGTTTCGGATTGACTGAACTCCGGGCCTGGGAGAGGAAAATGGGTCGGCAGTGTGGAAAGGCCGTTAGGGCCCTTTTTTCTAGCCATGTGCAATCAGATTTCTCAAAACAGGAACCAGCCTGACTGTCAGCCAGGGCCGTCCGGGGAGCAGTGACAGTTAGAACAGAAAGGAGTTCAGAAATGACACAGCCCCGGGGGAGGAAACGGGGAGTCGGCCTCTGCGGCTTGCAACGGCCCTCCTCGGGGCCAAGACCCCAGACCCTCCCGCGGGGGTCGGAGTTGTGCAAATGGCGAGGCGGGCCTTTTCTGGAATGCTCTCTTGGGGTAACCTCTCCCCAGAATGCACTGCTCCCCACGGGGCCCCACCTTGGGTGGGCTCTGCAGGTGTCAGCACCGGAGACGCGCGTCCCCTTTCCCCGGCCCCTTTGCCGTCTGTGGTGGGGCTGGCGGCGACAGGGATGATGGTGGAAATGACAATAATTTATTATTTATTTTGACATCTGTCATCTTAATTGATCCAAGAACCAAAATGTGAGGTTGACGAGGCCGCACCTCGTGTGGAGTAGCTGCACAGGCGCTGAGCCCAGCGCCGTGTCCAGCACCGGGATGGTGTGCGCTGTGGGCAGACCGCAGGCGCCCGGGAGCCGGGGGTCCTGGGTTCTTGTCCAGGGTCACGCTGCCAGGCAGGCTGCCCACATCTGTGAGATGGACCAGAGGCGCTCAGCAGTGACGGGCTGAGCCAGGCCTCCGCTCCTGCTTCCTCCCCACACCGCGGCCAGATGCCCTGCGCGGGAAGGCCATTACCGCTGGGTCTGCCTGGCAGCTCCCAGTGTGCAGGGCTCTGTGCCCCACGTTCTCCTTTAGGATCGCTGGGCGTTCTGGGAGTCTCCCATTGCATAGTTGGAGCAACTGAGACTCGGAGGGGGGAGCTGGAGCCTGAACTCAGGCCCCGGGGCTCCCACGTGCTCCTCCTCCCCGCTGGGGTTCCTCCGTGCACCCCTCTGCAGCTCTGCTCTCACCCAGCCGCACCCCTGCTCCAGGAGCCCCCGGCACCGCAGCCGTCCCGGTTCACCCGGCCCGGCCCTCCCCAGCCGCTGCCCTGGCAAAGCTGGTGCCTGGAGCAGGCAGCCATGTCTGGGGTCACACACACAGGTCAGGGTCCGGGGGAAAGGCCTGCCTCCGCCCAGGACGAGGTGCCAGTGGAGTGCTCCCCTCGGGCGGGCTCCCTGCGGCCGGTGCCAGGCTGGGCTTGGCTGGGCACGGGGTCTGTCGTCACAGCTCCGGCTCCCCAGGGCTGGGGCCGAGCCTTTGGGCACAGGCCGCTTGGAGCTGGCACAGGGCCTCCCCTCGGCCCCTGTAGAAGCCAGGGAAGCAGACCCGTGTCTTCTCTTCCTCACTGAAGGACTGGCCTTGTGTGGAGAGGAGGCCCGGCCCAGCCCTCCTCCCGGCCGGCCTGCCTCCGCGCCTGCCAGCGACCTTTCAGGGTCCGGGCCTGCTCCTCTCTCCGGAGGAGCCCTGCGCCCTCTCCAGCGGCCGCAGCAGCTGTAATTACTGCCATTTGCTTAATGTGACCATGGAGGCCTCTGTAATTAATCTCCGGGCTCCTGCCGAGCAGCCCGTCTCGGCCGTCCCCGAGGTGCCTGTCCTCCCCAAGGTGCCTGTCTTCCCCGAGGTGTCCTCCCCGGACCTGCCCTCCCCGGACCTGTCCTCCCCGAGGTGTCCTCCCGGAGGTGTCCTCCCCGGAGGTGCCTGTCCTCCCTGCAGGAGGCTGTCCTCCCGGAGGTGCCTGTCCTCCCCGAGGTGCCTGTCCTCCCCGGACCTGTCCTCCCCGGGGTGCCTGTCCTCCCTGCAGGAGGCTGTCCTCCCCGGGGTGCCTGTCCTCCCCGAGGTGCCTGTCCTCCCCGGACCTGTCCTCCCCGGGGTGCCTGTCCTCCCGGAGGTGCCTGTCCTCCCCGGACCTGTCCTCCCCGGACCTGTCCTCCCTGAGGAGCCTGTCCTCCCTGCAGGAGGCTGTCCTCCCGGACCTGTCCTCCCCGGACCTGTCCTCCCCAGACCTGTCCTCCCGGAGGTGCCTGTCCTCCCTGGACCTGTCCTCCCCGAGGTGCCCTGTCCTCCCTGCAGGAGGCTGTCCGAGCCGGCGCCTCTCTCAGCCCGTTTTCCCGGCTCCTTCCTGGTCCCTCCCCCACCGTGGATTTCCTTCTTCCTGTCCTTCTCCCGGCTTCCCTGTCTCCCGGACCCACCGCTCTCAGCCTCCAGAACTTCCTGCCCCGATTTGTGGGGGATGGGGTGCGGGAAGGGCTTCTCCCCTCCTCCTCCCTCCTCTGCCCCCCCCTCCCTCCCCCCGGCCTCTCTTCCTCCTCCAGAACTTTCCACTCCAGTGGCAGTCCCTCCCTCCGGGCTCCGGAGCCCTGGGCCCCGGGAATGGGTCCCTGGCCTGTCTTTCCCCATCTGTCCTCCTCTCCCGATCGCTGGCTTTCACATGTCTGCCACCACGTTGCTCGCTGCCTGTTTACCCAGGAATCGGGGGACAGGAGCCACGGGCTGGGCTCCGTCCGCCCAGGAGTAATGCCTCCTGTGAATGCACCATCGGTTCCTGCGGCGAGTTCCCAGCAGCTCGGATGCGGGTCCTCCCCCCGCAGGCCCGGCCCGCCTGCAGACGGCCAGGGCTTCCTGGACACGGAGCTCCCCCGGGACCAAACAGGCCACGAACCCAGTCTTCGGGGGCTGCACAGCCCCCACCACACCTGCCCCTCTCCCGTGGCCGCTCCCTCCTCACAGATGGCGCCGCTCAGGGTATTGCTGCCTTTCGCACGGAGGCTCGGCAGCGGGACAGCCCCCGGGCACCTCGGGGCGCAGCGCCCGGGAGTGTGTTCTGGCCGCGTCCTGACGCGATGGGGGGATGGCAGGGCGTGGTGCTCGTGTCGTATCTGTGTGGAAGCCGGGACGTGGGGTGACATCCCACAGGGGCCTGGGCCGCTGCAGACATGGCAGCGGGCTGGTGTGAGGTGCCCGGCGGGCATCCTTCTCCCTCCCCTGGCAGCTGGCCGGTTCAGTCGGTCTTCCCGCCCCGTATGCGCCCCGTCCTCGGTCTCCGAGGCCATTGCCAGCCCGCGGGAGAGCCGTTGAGAAATATTAATAAGAAGCCCCAGGGGACCGCTCCTGCCGCTGCCACCGCGGTGCCAGGTTTCCTGGAAGTGCCACCGGGGAGCGCCTTCGCCGCCGCCTGCGGCTGGTTAACTGTCACCTCCCAGGCCGTTCCGGTGTGGCTGCATGGGCCTGCCAGGCCCCGGCCCCGTGCCAGCTTGCATTGTCCCCCCGTCACTCAGGGCACAGGAGCTACGGTCCGTGGCCTGCCAGGTGCCAGTCAGCCTGGTGGGTGCCCAGGGGACAGGCTGCTGCTGCCTGCAGCCACTGGCAGCGAGGCAACCAGGTCAGGAGCCAGGGTCCCCCGAGACCCTGCACAGAGGTTAGGGGGCTCCGCTGGTGGGAGCCCCTTCCTCAGAGAGGGCTGGAGGTTCTCTTGCCACTAACGCGGGTGGGACTCTGCTCCGCTGCCTTCAGCCCCGACTTCCTCGCCATCAGCCTGTGTTTGCTCTGACCCCTGCTGGCCCGCCCCGTCCACGGAAGCCACCGCCGTGGCCCTGATGAGGGTCCAGACCAGCCTGCCGGGCCACTGCGCCCCAGAGCCAGGGCCTCTGCGCTTCCTGTGGGCCACGTGCTGCCAGAAGGTTCCGGAAGTTCTCATCCCTCCCCGCCTGCTGTTCTGTCACCCCAACCCTGGCTCTGGGCTGAGGGAGGAAGTGCTCCCCTCCGCCCGCCCCCTCATGCCGTGTGAGCTGGACCTGCTCCTGGAGCAGCTGGGGCCGGTGTGGGCAGCCCTGGCTGCAGGTGGCAGTGCCACGCACCAGGCCAGCACCCCCTGCCACGGGGGCGGGCCTCGTGCTGAGGGGCCCCCGATACGTGGGCAGGGCAGGTGCTGGGGTCTGCCCGAGGCCCCAGGCTGAGCAGCGCCGGTGAGCGAGGCTGATCTGCCAGCAGAGTGGTGTGGCAGCCACGTCCTGCCCCCGGCTCCTGCCAGGCTCGCCCGTCAGGAGGCCTGCCACGGCCGCAGGCCCCAGAACACAGCAAGGTGCAGCTGTGGCCACAGCCCAGAGGAGGTGCGGCTGTAGCAGCCATTTGTTTATTTGTATTTTTGTTACTTTTGAGAGAGAAACAGGATGGGCTGCCCCCTGAACCCCCTCCCCCACTGGAGATGGAGCCTGTGGCCAGGCGTGTGCCCTGCGGGCGAACTGGACCAGCAGCCTCCGGGGCCTCCGGGGCCTCCGGCGTATTCGATGGCCAGCTGTGGCGGCAGGTCGGCGTTTTGTTGACATCCGCATTTCACAAATGAGGAACCTGGTGGGTGAAGTGGTGGCTTGGCCTGGCTCCGGGGAGGGCAGCCTCGGGGAGACGCTGCAGGACGGAGGCGGGCACTGGACAGCCCCGGTGGATGTGGGGCCACATGCCCCTGGGCATTGGCTGTTGGCTGGGCAGGGGCAGGAATGCTGCCTCCTCCAGCGTCACAGAGGTGGCCCGCCCGAGGCCATCGCGGCCCTGTGCCCGCCCGTGCGTGCCGCCCGGCGGAGTGGCCCCTGGCACGCTGTGACCTGCCAGCTCCTGGCGGCCCGGGGCGGACAGGAAGCCGCACGCTGTCGCTCCGGGGCTGCCGTTCGAGGCTCTGCCCGAGCGTGACCTTGCGCTTGGTTGGGGCCGTGTTTGTTTTGTTCAGGAAACATTTTCTTTTTAAGGAAGAAAGTGAAGAGTGTGGGCCGGGAAGAATGCCGCGGCCTCGTGCGGGCTCCGGGGAGGGCGGCTCGGAGCCGGCGGGCGGCCCTCCGAGGGGGACCCGGGGCCCGGTGTCCGTTCCCAGCTGCCCTGCGGGGCCGTCCGTACGTGGCAGCACGGCTCCCGGGGGCATTCCCGTGGCCTCCCTCACGGAGCCAGCACCAGGCTCGCTGGTTCTCATAACGGGAGCTGGGGCTCGGGGCTTCCCGGTGGCCATCGCAGGAGCCCCGTTGGGGTCACTCAGACAGGCTGTGCGCCGTCCGCGTCCCCTGTCCGGACACTCACCCGGGCAGCCTGGCCGCCGTCTCAGTGTCCACTCCAAGCGGGAGGGACATCTGCTCCACTCGTTCTCCCCCAGCTGCTCTCTCACCCCAGCACAGGAATGGGGTGCAGGGCAGGGAATGAGCGCCCGCCCTCCCGGTCCCTCTCCCGGGAGACACCCTCGGGTGTCTGCCCTCGGCCCAGGCTGCCCTCGGCCCAGCACCCCCACCGCCACCCCCACCCCACCCCGCGTCCCAGAGTCTGAACGGAGGCTCCAGGCTCCGCGGCCCCCGTGCTCTCTCGAGACTTTCCCCTGAGTGGACTGACCATGAGCCAAGGCCGAGGAAGGCTGGGCCCGGGGCTTCCGCCCGGACCATCTCAGAGGGAACACGCGGAGTGGACAAGGGCAGGAGCCCCCTTCCCTCGAGCCCAGGCCCAGAGGCTGTCAAAGGAGGATGTCAACAAGGCCTTGTCAACCCTCTCCCACCCTCCGCCAGCCTGAGCCGCCTCTCACCCCGTTCCTTTCCCTCTCCCGCCCGCCGGGCCCCAGCGGCGCCCGCGCACTCCTGCCCTGGCCGAGCTGCCGGAGGGTCCTTGGCGCTCACCCTGCCTGGCCTTCCCCGGTGTCTCCTCCGCCCGCCCACCGCCCTGGGCCTCACACCTGCTCACATCCTGTTTGCGCAGAGGGACCCACCGAAGTTCCGCCTTCGCCACAGCCTGTCCCCAAGGCCCAGAGCAGCGGTCGGCAAACTCACCAGTCAACAGAGCCGCATGTGGCTCTCGAGCCGCAGTTTGCCGATCGCTGGCCTGGAGCACTCTTCCCAGTCTGCGTCTCCTGGAGCCGGCCGGTCCCCCTCCGGCTTTGTCACCCTAATGGCACCCACCGGACCGGGCTGTGTCCTGGAAGCGTGCGTGGCGCCTGCCTTCCCGGAGGCTATGGCCACGTCCTTGCCCGGGGTCTCTGTTAGCCGCCTGCTGGTGGCCCACCGACCCTCAGGGCCACACGCCCTTGCCTGGCCTCAGGTGTGACCGCCAGCATGGCCCTCAGGGTGGGCAGCCAGCGTGCTCCTGGGATCCTGGGCCGGTGCGGACCGGCCGTGACCAGCGGCCGCCGTGACGGGCAGGCTGCAGGGACCGGCTGCAGGTGGCCCGGGGTGGGGGGTGGGGGGGACGGATGGCGTGTCTGCGGCCTGAAGCATAGTGGGCGGCGCTGCCCCAGACTGCGCTGGACGTGGGGGTGAGAGGAGCGGGCGGAGCGTGGGGCTGGCTTCGGCGTCAGAGCGGCCACCCCTCCCTGCTGCAGCCCAGGGACAGGCGTCAGGGACATGGGGACTGAGGCTGGGCTTTTTCTCTTTTTAACCATTTTAAAAAACTGAGATATAATTCAAATGACATAATTTTAGCCCCGGCCAGTCGGTTGGCCATCATCCTGTGCACCTAAAGGTCGCTGGTTCCGTTCGAGTCGGGGCACAGGGCGGGTGCAGGCTCCGTCCCTGGTGGCAGGGTGCAAGAGGCAGCTGATCGATGCTTCCCTCTCCAGTCTATGTTTCTCTCCTCCCTTCCTCTCTCTAAAAATCAATAAAATATATTTTTAAATATATTTTTATTGATTTTTTACAGAGAGGAAGGGAGAGAGATTGAGAGCTAGAAACATCGATGAGAGAGAAACATCGACCAGCTGCTTCTTGCACACCCCCTAGCGGGGATGTGCCCGCAACCAATGTACATGCCCTTGACCGGAATCGAACCCGGGGCCTTTCAGTCCACAGACTGACGCTCTACCACTGAGCCAAACCGGTTTCGGCTATAAAAATATTTTAAAAATTTATCATTTCAAAGAGTACAGTTGAGTGGGTTTTAGTGCATTCACTATGTTGTGCAACCCTCCCCGCTACCTAACTCCAGGACAGTCCCGTCACCCCCTTCCTTTCCCCAGACCCTGGCAGCCATAATCTGCTTTCTGTCTCCGTGGGTCTGTCTGCTCTTGGCATTCCATGTAAATGGAGTCGTACAGCGAGGTCTTTTAGGATTATCTTTTGTCACTTAGCGGGATGCTTTCAAGCCCCTCATATTGTAACGAGTCCGTGTGTCACTGCTGGTTCTCTGTGGCTGAGTGGTGTGCGTGCCATGGTGGGGACAGGCCACCATCTGCTGCTAGTGCCAAGACCCCAGAGCCAGCACAAAGCAGTGCTGGGACCCAGCTTCTCAGCAGCCTCCTCTGGCCACCCCGGCTTTGGGGGACAGAGCCTTGGGGGGCAGGCCCGGCTTTGGGGGACAGAGCCTTGGGGGGCAGGCCCAGGCTTCCGGTCCCTCTGGTGTGACCTTCAGAGGGAGCAGTGATGCCCACCGCAGTGCCCCCTGCTGACGGCGTCCGGGGCCCCGGTCACCGGCCTTCTGTCTTCCAGCATCCGCAGCGTCATGCAGAAGTACCTGGAGGACCGGGGCGAGGTGACCTTCGACAAGATCTTCTCCCAGAAGCTGGGTGAGTCGGGGACCGGGGCCCCGCCAGCCTGGGGACGGGGTGTGGGGACAAAAGGCCGAGGCTGGCGCCGGGCTTGGCCGCCCTCCCCTGGGGCAGGGCCCGGGAGCCCCTGGGTGTCAGCAGAGCTGACCCGCTGTGCCCCGGCCCTGGCTGTCGGCCCAGAGCCCTGTGGAGGGTGGGGGCCCCAGTCTTCAGGGCCCCGGGGGAAGTTCCTCCTTTGGGGTTTTTGTTTTTGCGAGTTGCAGCTTCCCCTTGGCGCAGGCACAGCTGCTCCGGGCAGTTGGTAGCGCTGACAGGAAGGGGCGGGGCTCTTCCTGAGGCGCCTGCCTCGCTGTGGTCGGCCCACCCCGCCCCCATGGCCCTCTTTGTGAGCAACCTGCCGGCCTGGTCCTCCTCCCTCCCCGCCGGGGCTGAGTCTGAGGGGCCCTGGCCTCGGGGCCGGTCCTCCTCCCTCCCCGTCCTCCTCCCTCCCCGCCGGGGCTGTGTCTGAGGGGGCCTGGCCTCGGGGCCGGTCCTCCTCCCTCCCCGTCCAACTCCCTCCCCGGTCCTCCTCCCTCCCCGTCCTCCTCCCTCCCCGTCCTCCTCCCTCCCCGTCCTCCTCCCTCCCCATCCTCCTCCCTCCCCGCCGGGGCTGTGTCTGAGGGGCCCTGGCCTCGGGGCTGGTCCTCCCTCCCCGCCGGGGCTGTGTCTGAGGGGGCCTGGCCTCGGGGCCGGTCCTCCTCCCTCTCCGTCCTCCTCCCTCCCCGCCGGGGCTGTGTCTGAGGGGCCCTGGCCTCGGGGCCGGTCCTCCTCCCTCCCCGTCCTCCTCCCTCCCCGTCCTCCTCCCTCCCCGCCGGGACTGTGTCTGAGGGGGCCTGGCCTCGGGGCCGGTCCTCCTCCCTCCCCGTCCTCCTCCCTCCCCGTCCTCCTCCCTCCCCGCCGGGGCTGAGTCTGAGGGGGCCTGGCCTCGGGGCCGGTCCTCCTCCCTCCCCGTCCTCCTCCCTCCCCGTCCTCCTCCCTCCCCGTCCTCCTCCCTCCCCGCCGGGGCTGTGTCTGAGGGGGCCTGGCCTCGGGGCTGGTCCTTCCTCCCCGCCAGGGCTGAGTCTGAGGGGGCCTGGCCTTGGGGCTGGTCCTCCTCCCTCCCCGTCCTCCTTCCTCCCCGCCGGGGCTGAGTCTGAGGGGCCCTGGCCTCGGGGCCGGTCCCCCTTCCTCCCCGCCGGTCCTCCTCCCTCCCCGCCGGGGCTGAGTCTGAGGGGGCCTGGCCTCGGGGCTGGTCCTTCCTCCCCGCCGGGGCTGTATCTGAGGGGGCCCTGGCCTCGGGGCCGCAGGCTCGTCACTCAGCTCGGATGGGGCTTCGGAGGACAGGACCTCAGCTCTGAGGTGGGAGTGGCCTGGCTGGTGGGATCAGGCTTTGAGGTCAGGAGGGAGCCAGCCCGAGGGGAACCACGTGGCTGGGGTACCCTGGCCTGTGCTGTGTGACCTTGGGCACGTTGCTTTACCTCTCTGAGCCCGCCGGTGTCCTCACCCGGGACCTACAACGCAGGAGCCCTGCCTGTGGGGGGACCGGAGGTGATAGTGCCAGTGAAAGCCCCCGAGTTGTTCAGGGGCATGACACTGGAGGGCCAGGCCCCCGGCAGGAAGTGCGTCTGCCCGCTCTGGAAGAGGTGCCTGGGCGGGAGGGGGGCAGAGCCCCCAAGAAGCAGGGAAGACTCCCAAGGGCACGATGCTCGGAGGGTGCAGGGGCCACGCCTCCTCCTCCTTCGCCCTCAGGGTGCTCTGAGCCAGGCCTCGGGCCCCTGCTCGCTGGGAGGGTGAGACCTGGCCTGTCCGGGGCCTCCTGGGAGTCCTTGCCATCGCCCCTCTCACCTCTGCCCCCAGGGGCCCCTGCCCTTCAGCCCGACTCCCCAACCTGCCTCTCAGGCCTGCCTGACACACCTCCTGAGCCTCAGTTTCCCCAGGTGGACCTCCCTCCCTGTGTGCTGTGTCTCAGCTGCTGTGAGTCAGCGGCTGACGGGGCTATAGTTTAGGGGAGCAGGTGGCCCTGAGAGGCAGCTTGCCCCCCCATGCACGGCGCTGGCGAACCTCACTGCGCGGCCACAGCTGCCCGGGGCGGGGTCACACTGTGGGAGGAGGTGCAGGTCCCTGGACGGCAGTGAGAGGGCAGGCACCCAGGTGCCAGAGCCAGCCCCGGCCTGTGCCTCACCAGCGTGCCGGCGCCATCTGAGGAGGAGATCCTGAGAGGGCGGACCTGCAGACGCCCTGACCCCGAATCCAAGACTCTGCCATTGGCTGCAGCCTTCAAGGCCGCCTTGCCCAGCCACGGCCTGGCAGAGACCGCCTCTGCCACCTCCTTGCCCTGTTCTGCCCAGGAAGCCCAAGCCCACACCACCCTCGCGGTGGGAGGGCCTCCGAGACGGGGTGGCTCAGTGTGACCTGACCTTGCTTGCAGGGTACCTGCTCTTCCGAGACTTCTGCCTGAAGCACCTGGAGGAGGCCAGGCCCCTGGTGGAGTTCTACGAGGAGGTGAGCCGGCCGCGCTGCTTTTGCCGAGTTCACCAGATGCCCGGTGCCTCCGGGCTCCCTGGGCCGAAGGTCACCCGGCATCTTGTCCTCCAGATCAGGAAATACGAGAAGCTGGAGACGGAGGAGGAGCGGCTGGCCTGCAGCCGGGAGATCTTCGACACCTACATCATGAAGGAGCTGCTGGCCTGCTCGCACGTGAGTGCCCGCACTGCCCGCGGCCGGAGCGCCCTGGGCGCCGGAGGGAGGAGGTCTCCTGCCCGCGGGGCGTTCACGCCGCCTCTGTCTTCCCAGCCCTTCTCCAAAAGCGCCACCGAGCATGTCCAGGGCCACCTGGCGAAGAGGCAGGTGCCTCCGGATCTCTTCCAGGTGTGTGATGTGCCCACGCTCCCGCCCGCCCGGCCAGGGAGCGGATCAGCTCCCACCCTGGCACCTCGCCAACCTCTGCCTTCCTCCCTTAGCCGTACATCGAGGAGATCTGTCAGAACCTCCGGGGGGATGTGTTCCAGAAGTTCATTGAGAGGTGAGCGGGCGCACGCAGGAGCGGAGAGGAGCAGAGGGAGGCAGGGCTGTCCTGAGTGGGTGGGTGGCGAGGGGAGAAGCCAGCCACTTTAGGCCCCAGGCAGGGGTGCCTGACTCCTCAGAGGTTAGGCAGGCCAGGTCACTGCCTGCCCACACTCAGCCCCAAGCCCGGCCCAGGTCCTTCTCCAGGGACCTTCCCTCCCACGGACTGTTGGCGCCTGCTGGGCCCGCCCGGGCTGAGAAGCATGGGGGGGTTCGGGTGGACACTAGAGGACACACTGCCCAGCCCGCCCTCATGGCGAGCACCCACCTGGTGGGGGGAGGGGGGACTGCAGGCGGATCTCGGCCTGAGGTGAGGCGTGGCCATGCGGGGCCTCCGGGAGGGGAGTGAGTGCCGTGTCCTGGAGGCACGGGCACCCTCGGGTCTGTCGGCAGGAAGTCTCAGGCTGGAGACCGTTCTCACCTCTGAGCGCGCGGGAGCCTGGTGCGGGTGGCCAGGCCCACACAGGCCGGCGTGCGGGTGCTATTCCTGGGCCGTTCCAGGAGAGGACCCTGAGGCTGGGACCCCCGGGAGCGGCAGTGGGTGGGGTAGGCTCATCCCATGGATCTGAGTTTGCCTGAGCCCAGGTCCTTCTCTTACAGCGATAAATTCACTCGGTTCTGCCAGTGGAAGAATGTGGAGCTCAACATTCACGTGAGTGGGCGGGTGGGTGTGGGGCTGGGCCGCGGGGCTTGGCCGGGGAGTCTGCCAGCCTCGGGTGTGGCTGTGGGCGCGTCAGGGTCCCCACGGGTGGCTCCGGCAGGCGGGCAGTGAGGGTGGCCGCGGCTGGGCCAGCAGCCGCAGTGACAGGCCGTGGCCCTGCAGCTGACCATGAATGACTTCAGCGTGCACCGCATCATCGGCCGCGGCGGCTTCGGCGAGGTCTACGGGTGCCGGAAGGCCGACACGGGCAAGATGTGAGCTCCCTGAGGGGAGGGAGGGCCCCTGGGTGCCCACGGGAGAGCCAGGTCTCTGCCCGGGACAGATGCTTGCTCGTCACTCCACGCCCCGTCTCTCCCCATTCTTACACCCTGAGCCTCCAGCCCACCAGCACTTCCTCTGGCCCCTCTGTCTGTGTGTCATAAGCGTATTGGGGTGCCCAGAGTTCCCCAAAAGGGCTCTGAGGACCCCCGCCCCGCCCCTGGGCCAGAGCAGCCTGGCTCCGCACACAGCGCCCCTGGGTGACCCTGCCGGCCCGCAGGTACGCCATGAAGTGTCTGGACAAGAAGCGCATCAAGATGAAGCAGGGGGAGACGCTGGCCCTGAACGAGCGCATCATGCTGTCCCTCGTCAGCACCGGGGTGAGCGGGCACCGGGCGGGCGCCGGGCGGGCGGGCGCCGGGCGGGCGGGCGCCGGGGTGAGCGGGCGCCGGGCGGGCGGGCGCCGGGCGGGCGGGCACCGGGGTGAGCGGGCACCGGGCGGGCGGGCGCCGGGGTGAGCGGGCGCCGGGCGGGCGGGCGCCAGGCGGGCGGGCACCGGGGTGAGCGGGCACCGGGCGGGCGGGCACCGGGGTGAGCGGGCACCGGGGTGAGCGGGCGCCGGGCGGGCGGGCACCGGGCGGGCGGGTGCCGGGGGCGGGCGGGCGCCGGGGGCGGGGGTGAGCGGGCGCCAGCGGGTGGCCCCGAGCAGCCGGGGCTCTGGGCCTCCGGGCGGCTCCCGCTGACCCCCGTCCCTCTCCTCCCAGGACTGCCCGTTCATCGTCTGCATGTCCTACGCGTTCCACACGCCAGACAAGCTCAGCTTCATCCTGGACCTCATGAACGGTGAGCGGGGCGGCCTGGGCAGGGGGGCAGGGGGCGGTGAGCGGGGCGGCCTGTGCAGGGGGACAGGGGGGGGGAGAGGGTATCAGGGGGCGGGGCCGGGGCGGCCTGGGCAGGGGGGCAGGGGGCGGTGAGCGGGTCGGCCGTGCGCGAGGGGGGGGGCAGGGGGCGGTGAGCGGGGCGGCCGTGCGCGGGGGCAGGGGGCGGGGCCGGGGTGGCCTGTGCGCGGGGGTGGGGAGGTGGGGGGCAGGGGGCGGGCCGGAGCTGAGCACCCCTCCCTCCGCAGGCGGCGACCTGCACTACCACCTGTCCCAGCACGGCGTCTTCTCCGAGGCCGACATGCGCTTCTACGCGGCCGAGATCATCCTGGGCCTGGAGCACATGCACAGCCGCTTCGTGGTCTACCGGGACCTGAAGGTGAGCCCGGCCGGCCTCCCCTCCCCTCGGCGCCCGCCCCGCCCCGCCCCGGGGCGCCCTTTTCTGGGTTCAGACTGTGACGGGGGGGGGGGGGGGGGGGGCGAAGACCCTGCCCGGGGCCTGGTCCCCGGACGCCCACAGCCCTTTGGAGGGAAGGCAGCGGCCAGCTGGCGCCTTGCCGGCGGGCCTGCCTGAGCTGCCGGGGCAGCTCACGGCCTCCCCGCAGCCCGCCAACATCCTGCTGGACGAGCACGGTCATGTGCGCATCTCGGACCTGGGCCTGGCCTGCGACTTCTCCAAGAAGAAGCCCCACGCCAGCGTGTGAGTGCCCGCCCGCCCGCCCACACGCCCTCCCGCCCACACGCCCTCCCGCCCGCCCACACGCCCGCCCTCCCCGGACCCTCCGCCCAACCCGCTCACGGCCCTGCGCCCACAGGGGCACCCACGGGTACATGGCCCCCGAGGTGCTGCAGAAGGGCGTGGCCTACGACAGCAGCGCGGACTGGTTCTCCCTGGGCTGCATGCTCTTCAAGCTGCTGCGGGGGTGAGTGGGGCGTCCCGCGTGGGTGGGCGGGGCCAGACAGAGCCAGGCAGGAGCTGGGGGAGGAGCCCACAGCTACCTGGGTGTGAGGTATGGCATCGTCCTGGCTTTGGAGGAGGACCAGGGATCCTACCTGCCTCAGTTTCCCCATTCCGTTCTGTGACTTTGTCCTTTCCCGCCCAGGCACAGTCCCTTCCGGCAGCACAAGACCAAAGACAAGCATGAGATCGACCGCATGACGTTGACAATGGTGCGTGTGGGGTTCGGCCCCGGGTGCTGGGTGGAGTCCATGGGCCACAGCGGGGTTGGAGTCGATGGTATCAGGGTCACGGACTCCTGGTTCTCACCGGCAATGACCTTGGGCCACTCATCCCCACTCTGGCCTCCTGCCCTGCGTTGTCAGAGCAGACATGCCCGCCAGGGTGGGGCAGTGAGGGAGCAGGGCCCGTTTCTCGCTCTCCTGGGCGCTGCTGACGGGCTCTCCCCGCAGGCCGTGGAGCTGCCCGACTCCTTCTCCCCGGAGCTCCGCTCCTTGCTGGAGGGGCTGCTGCAGAGGGACGTCCACCGGAGACTGGGCTGCCTGGGCCGAGGGTGAGTGCTCCCAGCAAGGCCCTGAGCACCCGGCTTGCTGCGGGGTCCAGGCCTCCGCAGTGGCTGCTGGGCCTGTGCCCGTGCCGCCTGCGGACCGGGCTGTGCCCCTCCCTGGAACCGGCCCCTCTGAGGAGCTCACAGGAGCCGGGCACAGCCAGCCGAGCCGGCCGGAGCTGGCTGGCGACCGGCTTCCGGAGGGCCCTGGTAACAAAGACGGCGATATCAGATGATGATGATGACAGCAGCTTTTTATGTTTATTAAACATTTACTAAGTGCCAGGCATGATGTTGCAAGATTTATGATATTAAAACTTACAACCACCCTGCGAGACGTGGGAACTCTGCTCTCCCCGCGAGAGATGAGGAAACGGCTCAGGTTTAGGGAACTTGGCCAAGGTCGCAGGCAGAAAGCGGCTGCCGCAGCCCGGTGCCCGGCGTCTCCCACAGGGCCCAGGAGGTGAAGGAGAGCCCCTTCTTCCACTCGCTGGACTGGCAGATGGTCTTCCTGCAGAAGGTACAGCGGGGGCCGGGCGGGGGCCGGGCGGGGGGCCCTGCAGGCCCTGCCCGTGCTGATTCGCCCTTGTTCCGCCACAGTACCCGCCCCCGCTGATCCCCCCCCGAGGGGAGGTGAACGCCGCCGACGCCTTCGACATCGGCTCCTTCGATGAGGAGGACACGAAAGGAATCAAGGTGCGGGGCCTGGCCTGGCCGGACCGGAGCTGCCCGGGCCTCCGCGTCCCTTCTCTGCCCCCGTGAGGCCTTGGCCGGCCCTGTGCTCCCTCTGGCTCCCTCCCCTGTCCCTGCGGGTGGACCAGCCCACGTGCCCCGGTCCCTCGGGGTGGGCACGCCCAGGGTGACGGACACCCCTGCCTCGTCCCCGGGGGCAGTTACTGGACAGCGACCAGGAGCTCTACCGCAACTTCCCGCTCACCATCTCCGAGCGGTGGCAGCAGGAGGTGGCGGAGACCGTCTTCGACACCATCAACGCCGAGACGGACCGGCTGGAGACCCGCAAGAAGACCAAGAACAAGCAGCTGGGCCATGAGGAAGGTGAGGGTGGGGCTGCCGCGGGTGCCCACTGCCCGCAGGAGAGAGGAGGGAGGCGTGGGCTGCAGGAACCAGCCAGGGCCACCGCCGGAGCGGCCGCACCAGGATTCTCTCTCTCGCAGACTACGCCCTGGGCAAGGACTGCATCATGCACGGCTACATGTCCAAGATGGGCAACCCCTTCCTGACACAGTGGCAGCGGCGGTACTTCTACCTGTTCCCCAACCGGCTGGAGTGGCGGGGCGAGGGCGAGGCCCCGGTAAGGAGGGCCGGGCCGGGGCCGGGGATCGGGGTGGGAGGGCCCGTCCTGTCCCCTCACCGCCCCTCCCGGCCCTCCCGCCTGCAGCAGAGCCTGCTGACCATGGAGGAGATCCAGTCGGTGGAGGAGACGCAGATCAAGGAGCGGAAGTGCCTCCTCCTCAAGATCCGCGGCGGCAAACAGTTCGTGCTGCAGTGCGACGTGAGTGGGGTGCGGGCCGGGGGCGGGGCTGCGTGGGGGCGGGGGCCGCGGGGCGCCGCCCCCCTGACGGCCCGGCGTGCGCAGAGCGACCCGGAGCTGGTGCAGTGGAAGAAGGAGCTGCGGGACGCCTACCGCGAGGCGCAGCAGCTGGTGCAGCGGGTGCCCAAGATGAAGAACAAGGCGCGCTCGCCTGTGGTGGAGCTGAGCAAGGTGCCGCTGGTGCAGCGCGGCAGCGCCAACGGCCTCTGACCCCCCCCCCCCCCCCGCCGCCTTTTATAAACCTCTAATTTATTTTGTCGAACTTTTATTATTTGTTTTCCCGCCAAGCGGAAAAGGTTTTATTTTGTAATTATTGTGACTTCCTGTGGCCCAGCCCCCGGGGAGGGGCCCGCTTGCCTTGGCTCCTGCTGCCACCAACCCAGCCGCTGTCCAGCCTCCGTCCCCCTGGAGCCCAGGGGTCCCGCTGCCCGCGTCTTCCTGTGCAGGGAGAGCGGCCCCCGGCCCGCCCTTCCCGGGTGGCGCCCCCGCAGGCTCTGGGCTGCGCTCTGTGCCAGCGGCAGTGGGTGGCAGCGTCCTCCGCGCAGGGCGGCCACAGCGCGGAATGCCGCCCGAGTCCTCCCGCTCCGGCCCTCCTGCCGCAGAGACGGCCCCGCTCGGTCCGCCCCGCCGTGGTGAGAGGGCCCCGTGGTCTCCCTGGCCCAGCGCCGCCCACGGTGACCTGGACTCCTGCCCCCTCACGTGGGGGAGTCCCCGTGTCACTGCTGCCTCCTCCCCCCCTTCCCTGGGCACGGGCTTGGCCAGGACGGTGGCGCTGGCAGCAGGTGCTGCTGCTGTCACCCCAGCCCCACTCTCCCACCCGAGCCGCAGGCTCAAGGACCACGGAAAGGCAGCTGTGGGCTGTGCCACGCTGGCCTCGCCGGGCCTGAGGTCCCCCAGGCCCCTGTCCTCATCGGGCCTCGCCCTCGCCATCACTCTGCCCAGGGCCACGGGGCCAGCCGGGGCGGGGGGCGGGGGGCTGCACAGCAAGAGGGGCCGGTTGGACCAGCCTCGCCACCCTGGGGTCGTCAGTGTGCCCGTGGGCTGTCCAGCCCCAGCCCCGTCCCACTCCCCATGGGCGCCCCCACCCGCCGCATGCCCCCGTGCCAATCGCGCTGCCCTGTGTGGTGCCACGTCCTCCCCCAGCGGCTGGGTCGGCTCACCTTCCCCTCCCTCCTGCTCACTCCCTGGGGCGTTTCTTTGCCAGTTTTTGAATGTGATTTTAAAGTGAGAAAATGAGATTATGCGTTTTTATAAAAAAATGGTGCCTGACCTCGGCCGTGTCAGACTCTTTTTTGCCCCGTGATCGTTTGCAGCCGCCCTTAGGCAGAGGGTCGTGGTGGTGCCTGCCCCCTCCGCCACCATGGGCAGGCATCCAGGGCCAGCCTGCCCAGGCCCACGCCCTCCCCTGGCCCATCCACCACTGGGGGAGCAGGAGGAGGTACCCGAGTTTCACCTCTGGGTGTCACCTTGGACTGACTGACACTCCAGCCGCAGGCACAGTGCTGAGGGCAGCGTCCGGGGCAGACAAGCACCTCTGCCCTCGGCCACAGTGAGCCTCCGGGCCCTGGGCCCGCCCTCTGGCCTGTGCTGCGCCCCGAGCAGCAGCCTGAGGCCTGAGGGACTCCCCAGAGGCTCTTCCCCAGCCCGGCCCACAGGCCCGTGGGTGAGGTCTGTTGCTGTCCACCCCTGGAAGGTTCTGCTGGGCAGGGCTGAGGGGCACAGGACCCAAGCACAGCTCGGCAGGTGGCGAGGGAAGGCTGCTGGGTTGGAGGCTGGGGCCTGAAAAAGGCCTCTGAGCTGGGCCTCAGTACGGGGTGGGAGGCGGGTGTTTCTGACCAGGGCTGGGCCGGGCAGTCGGGAGTGGCTCCAGCTGGCAGGAGCACTGTGGGAAGGAGCCAGGCTGGGAGGCCCTGAATGCCAGGCTCAGCCTGGCTCAGAGCCCAGCGCGCACTTAGTGGCCACAGGACGAAGATGGACGTGGGTCTGAGCTTGGATGGGCTGGGATGGCTGGGCACTGGGAGCGGCTGCAGGACCCGCCACCGATGGCCCCAGGCGGGATGAGGGGAGGGAGGCAGAGGATGGAGCAGGGAGGCGGCTTAGGGCAGACCCGGGGCAGTGGTACCATGATGGCCATGGTGGAGTCTGGAAGAGATGCAAACAGGCCCGAGGGGAAGAACATGGCCCATCAGTAATGGGGGGAGAAAGAGATGGGGGTTCAAGACGGCCCCTGGGGAGTATGGTGCCTTTGGGAGTCGGACAGCAGGGAGCACAGCGGCCTGAGGGGAGAGGGTGAGGGTGGCCGCCTCGTCGCCCAAGGCCAGGCCCAGGCGCCAGGCTAAGGCCGGGCAGCGATAGCGCTGGGCCGGGAGGCTGCCCCTCGGTTCCGTGTGGGCGGAGGGGCCGGCCGGCTCTGATTTCGAAACTCCTTCCTCTCCTTCCTCTGGCCCCGAAGGCAGCCTCTGCCGAAGGGCCCCCGCGGGGTCAGGACAGTCCTCGCCCAGGGACACGGGCCCAGGCCCCGGCCAGGCCCCTGCTGCGCTCAGCGGCCACCAGCCAGGCCCGGCGGGGGCCGGGGGCCGGAGGGGGGCCGGGGCCGGGACCGGAGGGGGGGCCGGGGCCGTGGGAGAAACACGGGGACCCACGCGCAGCACAGAGGCAGCCGCTGCGCGCGCACGTCCCGGGCCCCGGGCCCCGCCCCTCGCCCGGACGCCCCGCCCCCGCCCCCTCCTTCCGCTGCGGGACCGCAAGGAGGGGCCAGGCTGGGCTGGCGCGCCCCCTGCAGGCCGCGGGCGGAGCCGCAGCCAGGCCCCGCCCTCCGGACCGCCCCCCGCAGCCCCTCCCCGCGGCGGCCCCGCCCGGCGGCCCCCGGCGCGCACCGGCCCCGGGCTGGGCGGCGCGGCCCGGGCCTCCGCGCACGCGGCCCGGCGGCGGTTGCCATGGCTGCAGGCGGCGAGGGGCGCGCGGCCGACGCCCCGCCCCGGCCCCGCCCCGCCCCAGGCCCCGCCCCCGATCCGCCCCGCCCTCCCGCCACCTGCGCCGCCGCCGCCGCGGAGCGGGGTCCGGGCCGCGGGGGTGTAGCCGGGCGGGAGGACCGAGGCGGGGCCGCGCCAGGCCCAGGCACAGGCCGCGGGGCCGCCCTCGCCACGCCCGCCGCCCGGGATGCGGCGCTGAGGCCCAGCATGGCCGGCCCGGGCCCCACCTTCCCGCTGCACCGGCTCGTCTGGGCGAACCGGCACCGCGAGCTGGAGGCCGCGCTGCACAGCCGCCAGGTGAGCCGCCGGCGCCGGGCCCGCGCCCAGAGCCCGGCCTCCCTCCGAGGCTCGGCCCCGCCCGGCCCGCCGCCCCCGGCCGCTGGGAGCCTCCCGCCTCCCCGCTTCTCGCTGCACCAGCCCGACCTCCCGGCCGCCCGAGCCGGGCCGAGAGGACTCCCGGCCCCGGTCCCTGACAGCCCGGCCAGGCCCGCACTGGGCCCAGCCCTGTCCCCGCAAAGCCCCGGAGGCGGCGGGCCCTGCCCACCTGCCCTCGCCCTCCCTCAGGGCCAACGAGGGGCGCCCCCCACCCCCCGCCGCCTCACTGCCCAGGCCTCCGCCTGCCCAGCCCGCGGCCTCTGGCCGCCCCTCGCCCTCCGCGCCCCGGGCTGAGGGTCCGTCTCCCCCAGCACGACATCGAGCAGGAGGACCCGCGGGGCCGCACCCCCCTGGAGCTGGCCGTGTCCCTGGGGAACCTCGAGTCCGTGCGAGTCCTCCTCCGCCACAACGCCAACGTGGGCAGAGAGAGCAGCCGGGGCTGGGCAGGTACGGAGGGTGGCATCGGGCTGGCGGGCAACCAGGCCGGGCCGCCCGGAGGGCACCCCTCAGCCGCGCGGTGACCCCAGTCCTGCAGGAGGCGGTGAGCACGGGGGACCCGGAGCTGGTGCAGGTGGTGCTGCAGTACCGGGACTACCAGAGGGCCAGGCAGAGGCTGGCGGGCATCCCGGAGCTGCTCAACAAACTCCGCCAGGTACCGGGCACGGAGGGCGGCCGGTGCGAGGGCGGGAGCCAAGGCCGGGGCGGTCCCGCTGGTCCCCGTGCCTGGCCCGGCCTCGGAAGGGCACCAGCCCGGGCAGCATGCTTTCCCCACACTGCGGTGAAGTCCCCGCCCCTCTCTCTTTTTATCGATAGCTCTATTATTTTTATTTCAATTCTTTATTGTTTAAAGTATTATATATGTGTCCCCCCCATTGACCTCTCCCCGGCCCCTCCCGCCCCACACTGCCCTCACCCCCAGCCCCTCTCTGGGGACCCAGCCCGGGGTCAGCGAGGAGAGGGGCCGCAGGGACAAGAGCGGGCCCCGAAGGAAAGCGCTCACCGGGGTGGAGGCTCTCCGCTGGCCAGGCACCCCAGGGCCTTCAGGCCGGGCTCCCGGTGGCGGCACCCCAGGGCCTTCAGGCCAGGCTCCCGGTGGAGGCACCCCAGGGCCTTCAGGCCAGGCTCCCGGTGGCACCCCAGGGCCTTCAGGCCGGGCTCCCGGAGGCACCCCAGGGCCTTCAGGCCGGGCTCCCGGAGGCATCCCAGGGCCTTCAGGCCGGGCTCTCCGCTGGCACCCCAGGGCCTTCAGGCCGGGCTCCCGGTGGAGGCACCCCAGGGCCTTCAGGCCGGGCTCCCGGTGGCACCCCAGGGCCTTCAGGCCAGGCTCCCGGTGGAGGCACCCCAGGGCCTTCAGGCCGGGCTCCCGGAGGCACCCCAGGGCCTTCAGGCCGGGCTCCCGGTGGCGGCACCCCAGGGCCTTCAGGCCGGGCTCCCGGTGGCACCCCAGGGCCTTCAGGCCGGGCTCTCCGCTGGCACCCCAGGGCCTTCAGGCCGGGCTCTCCGCTGGCACCCCAGGGCCTTCAGGCCGGGCTCCCGGTGGAGGCACCCCAGGGCCTTCAGGCCGGGCTCCCGGAGGCACCCCAGGGCCTTCAGGCCGGGCTCCCGGTGGAGGCACCCCAGGGCCTTCAGGCCGGGCTCCCGGTGGCACCCCAGGGCCTTCAGGCCGGGCTCCCGGTGGAGGCACCCCAGGGGCTTCGGGCCGGGCTCCCGGTGGAGGCAGGCTCTGGGGAGGGAGGGTCTCACCAACTGCCTGGAAGGCTGTCTGCCCTCTCCAAACACACTACCTCCTTCCCCCATCCCGGGGCAGGCCCAGAGCGGTCCTTGTGCTCCGGCTGCAGATGAGGCTTCTGGGGGCCAGAACAGTCAGGAGCTCCCTGGGGGCCCCAGCACGCGGCAGCCAGGTTGAGGAGGGCCCTCAGATCTTACGGTTTGATTGCTGAAGGCCTTTAGGGCACCCCTTGGCCACCTTTCTCGGGGGGGGGGGGGTAGTGATAGGGGCACCCAGGGCCATGGCAACGCATCGGGATGTCCCCAAGCTGAAGGGCTCGGCTCCCAGGAGCGGCCGGGCCGCTGGCCCCAGCACCAGGCAGGGCCTGACCGGTGCTCCGCTCTGCCCAGGCCCCGGACTTCTACGTGGAGATGAAGTGGGAGTTCACCAGCTGGGGTGAGTGGGGATGAAGTGGGGGTTCACAGCTGGGGTGAGTGGGGGTGAAGTGGGGGTTCACCAGCTGGGGTGAGTGGGGATGAAGTGGGGGTTCACAGCTGGGGTGAGTGGGGATGAAGTGGGGGTTCACAGCTGGGGTGAGTGGGGGTGAAGTGGGGGTTCACCAGCTGGGGTGAGTGGGGATGAAGTGGGGGTTCACAGCTGGGGTGAGTGGGGATGAAGTGGGGGTTCACAGCTGGGGTGAGTGGGGATGAAGTGGGGGTTCACAGCTGGGGTGAGTGGGGATGAAGTGGGGTTCACCGCTGGGTGGGGGATGAGTGGGGGTTCACAGCTGGGGTGAGTGGGGATGAAGTGGGGGTTCACAGCTGGGGTGAGTGGGGATGAAGTGGGGGTTCACAGCTGGGGTGAGTGGGGATGAAGTGGGGGTTCACAGCTGGGGTGAGTGGGGATGAAGTGGGGGTTCACAGCTGGGGTGAGGGGGGATGAAGTGGGGGTTCACAGCTGGGGTGAGGGGGGATGAAGTGGGGGTTCACAGCTGGGGTGAGTGGGGATGAAGTGGGGGTTCACAGCTGGGGGGAGGGGGGATGAAGTGGGGGTTCACAGCTGGGGTGAGTGGGGATGAAGTGGGGGTTCACAGCTGGGGTGAGTGGGGATGAAGTGGGGGTTCACAGCTGGGGTGAGTGGGGATGAAGTGGGGGTTCACAGCTGGGGTGAGTGGGGATGAAGTGGGGGTTCACAGCTGGGGTGAGTGGGGATGA